TGATTGTTTTAATTTTGTACGCCGCCCTGAGTCCTTTGGGATTGGGCGGCATATAAATAAAATTAAATAAATAAATGCATTTGTCCTGAGGTTGGATGTGGAAAGACATAGTAAGGAAGCAAACCAGTGCTGGAACCCCCAGAGCTACAACTCAACAACATCGTGTTTCTCTATATTTGTTCCATCTACAAAACACTGAAGCAAAAAGCCAAATTCACTCTGGAATGCTGAATTAGAATAAACGATAAAGGGATATTATGAGGTCTGCTTTCTCTGAAGTCCTAGCTCCAGACCGATGACTTATGAGGTACATCAAAATGCTGTGCTTATAGGCAGGATATTGTTTCATGTTTGTTTTAATCATTGTTATGAATCAGATTTTAGAAATTTACCAAATAGCCTATTTTACTTTTTCTTCCATTTTTGCCCTACATATTCCACGCTTGTACTTCAAAACTCTTTCTGATTTCCAAGTTTGGTAATACTTCTACTTCTATAAACCTAAATAGCTTGATTTTTTTTTAAAAAAATAGACTACCAAAATCTTTTTAGATTTTAACTTTGTTGAAAATCATGATTTTGATAAGCATATCCATATTGCCTAATTGCTCTATCACCAGAACAGGACCACAACTATTATTTGAATGCAAAAACAAAAATAGATCATATCTGCTTTTTCTCACCCCTCTCCCAGTACACATTTGATCCCTGGATGTATTTTCTTTCAGCAATTTGAAAAAAAGTCTTTTTCTATGATGTGGCATTTTGGCTGGACTGTTTTACTTCCTAACAGGCTCACCCCAGCAGCGCATTAAAATGCTTTTCAGAAGAAGAAACACCCCTCAGCGTAACCAAAGGTTATACTCATCTATTCTAAGTTCACCCACCTGCTATCACTGGCAAATATTGCAATGATTTAAAAAAAAAAAAAAAAAGCCACATAGCACATAAAGGGTTGCTGGTTCAAAACCTAGAAGGCCCTTGTTTTAATTACTACTTTCTTTTCCACAACCAGCTAGTTTTTCCTAGTTGAAGGCTTGAAAAATACATATATAAGGGCAAGATCTCACCATTTCATTGTTTTTCCAGATAATTGAGGTAAAACAGTTTCACACAGTGTGAACCCCTTTTACCTTAAGGAACTGGAAAAACAGTGAAATGGTAACTACACTTACTTTTAAAAAAAGGGGGGGGGAACCCAAAAGCTGTCAGCTACCCAGAGAAATTGAGCTACAGTAGGTGCGGAATAGAAAATAGTAATTTAAAAAAAAGGGTTCAAATACGTCTGATGTGGTGTTTTAGTACTAAGGTTAAGCAAAGGTTTGTAAGTTATTAATGTACAAAATATCTAATAAATGATTTAAAAAAATAAAGGCGGTGTTGTCTCTGTTTGTATATGCTGTATGTTCTGATGTTTTAATCTTCCAATAGAAGAGCTATTTTCTTGCATGTAACTCAGGTTGCACTGTGAAGTACTTAGTGCTCTCTGAGCTTGGTTGTTTGCAACTAGGTAACATTGTCAGTGCCTGTGACTGTGGGGTTTGCTCCCTATTTATATACAGTAATTTGCCTTGCCAATGTCAGTGGGGGTATATTTTTCTCCTTGGTTATTCATTGATAAAGATAATGTTTTTTACTTGATTGTTTTGGTGTTAATTCCTGCTTATCTGGGTATTGGCTTCTGGAGAGGATGCATTCCACTCTTTTTCTTTCCCTCTTAGTTTTTTTTTTTATTATCTCTTTTAAGTGGGTGTAAATGTGATTAAGCTCTATGTGACTGTTGATGGCTGATTTGTTCCAAATGCCAAGCATCCAGGAATTTCCTAGCATTTTTGGATTTAGCTTGGTCTAGAATGCTCACAGCTTCCCAGTTGAAACTAGAGTTGAACCTGTCCACATGTTGTGAGGTTATGCAGTTTTTGATGTATCTTATGATTGCTAGTTGGTGTTCATGGTTGCACTTATTAGTCTTCTGCTTGCCTGTCTACATAATATCTATTACAGTTCTTACACTGTACAGATAGTCCTCAACTTATGACCAGTCACTTAATGATCATTTGAAATTACTACAGACTTCCCCAGAATTACTTACAACCTGTTTTCGAAGTTATGAAACTGCACATACCCCCATGGTCGCATGATTGCATTTTGGGTGCTTGAGAATTGGCTCAATTTTACAGCCATTTGTAATATTCCATAGTCATGTGACCTCACCTATCTTGGGGGGGGTTGGATGGATAGATAGGTAGGTAGGTAGGTAGGTAGGTAGGTAGGTAGGTAGATGGATAGATAGATAGATAGATAGATAGATAGATAGATAGATAGATAGATAGATAGATAGATAGATAGATAGATAGATAGATAGATGATAGACAGACAGACAGACAGACAACAGACAGACTTGCAGTCAGGATTGAATATCTTGCAAGCTGTTGTCAAAATGTCTCAGTCCAGACTTGTTTTTCTTAAACTGATTTGAAATTAAGTTGCCATGAGTGCAAGACAGGAGAGCTTAAATGACATGTGCAAATGTCCCTTGCATACTTTTTTTCACATTGCTTGAGTCTTGTAATGAAATTTAGGGTGGGGTACAAAAACTAAGGTGATGAATTATCTCATTTTGAAAAACAACTTTTAATATATTCCCTTTTCTCTGATGGCTAAAGTTCAATTCAGTTATTTCCAGATTGTGAAGATGAAGCATCTTTCCCCTTTTATTTTCTTTTAATCTATCTAATATGAAGTGACACAATAATTAGTGTTTATTGTGTTGTTAGAAGCTTAATTTTATAGAAGAAAAAACACTGATGTAAAAGTTGCAAAGCTCAACTAAATATTTAGCTCTTGATTTTCCTGATATTCTAATTCCCTTATATACTGTACTTGATCTTTAAACAAAATTGATTTCTTTTCCCTTGATGAATCCAATTTTTCCTCAGTGCGGTTATTTTCTATAGTCAGATGTCAGCAATCAAATTTTACAAATACTGTTGGTTTCTTAGAATAATTATTTGTACTTTAGAAAGCTTTACAAATACATTTCACCATTTCTTTTTCCTTTTAAATCCTGGTTATTTGTGAAATAAGCATGAAGAGTAGATAAATAATATAGATGATAGATAGACAGACAGACGGACGGACGGACGGACGGACGGACAGACAGACAGACACATAGATGCCAGAGGAGAAAGGCATATTATTTCTGAGGAATCTTGACATTTAAAATCAATATTATAATTCTGTTAAACATCAGTGAAAAGCATTTAAAACATAAGTACTTAACTGTTCTTTTATTATCTTCAGGAAACCAGAAAGCTTTTTTCAGTTCAATGAAATGTAAAACCTCCAGTATTCCTAGTCTTAGCTTAAGGAAAATAAATTAATTACAACGTCCTGTAAAGTTATGTTAGGCATAGAATCTAGATTTGATAAATTTATTCGCACTTATTTAATGCTGTCTACATTTCGGCAACTCCTGTATTTTCTGTAAGAGTAATTTTATCCCACTGTCTCTAGATTTTATTATTTTATAAAACTATTTTTGGAAATAAAAGAGAAACAGAATAAGGAAATATAATATATATTTATATATATATGGCTTTTAGAAATCCACTTGCAAGCTTCTCTCTGGTTCTCTCGGCATGCTAGAATCACAAGTAGTTTAAATTTTTTTTGAAAAAAAATGTTGGAATCATAAAGTCAATTCTAGTGGAATCTCCATGAATTATAAACTAATTCATCTCACATCAACAACAAATTAAAGATATATTTCTCCAATGTACAAATTGGAAACTTTCTCTTGTTATTCCCATTATTTCATGCAACTGGACATTTTCACTCTGTTGCTTCGTTTTCTCTTGTTCCCCCATCCCCTGACCTTTTCATTTCTGATACTTTACCAGACAGGAAACAAGACCAGATCAGCTAATTCTGTTGTAAAGCTACATTAACAGAATCTTGCAAGTCTGAAAGTACAATTTTCCACTGTCACCTTTACAGTCTAATAACTTAGGGAGGGTCCTTCTTTTCTCTCTTGTTCCATCCACTATGCAGCTGAGAGCTATGTTCCCTGTTATCTGACCATCCCTTAGAAAAAATACCTTCACTCGGTCCCTCACGGTCATTCCCACCTAGCATTACAGTTTCCCCTCCTTCCTTTATATTGCTATATTGTAATACTTAATTCTATTCCCCTTTACTGCTGCATTTTCTTGCCTGCTCTCAATAGTTCCAGGTATTTGCAGTGATCTTCTTTGATATTATTTTTCACAAGACCTCTTCATTCCTTCATTATTTTTTCCGCTGTTGATGATGAGGATGTTACATTTATCCAGATAAACCCTATTACGATATCTTGGCTCTCTATGTAGACAGTGTAGAACAGTGTTTCTATTTCAGATCATACTTTTTTCCATACAGCTATTGAACAGCCATGTAAAGGAGGTGGGATAGTCTGGCAGATATTTTTGTGGTTTGATAGCCATGGCCCGATTTATTCAGCATTGTTGACGGAGGAATCAGTGCAATAACAAATAGTGGTGAACGTGAGTCTCCTTGAAAGATTCTTCTTTTAATATTAACCTCTTTCAGTCTATCACCACTGACCAATGGAACAGTTTGCCTTCAGAAGCTGTGGGTGCTCCATCACTGGAGGCTTTTAAGAAGGAACTTGGACAGCCATTTGTCTGGAATGGTAGAGGGTCTCCCGCTTGTGCACGGTCCCTTCCAACTCTGTTATTCAGTTGATGACTGTTAATTATTATTGTTAAGTTATTGTTATTACCAGGGCTTTTTTTTCTCATAGAACACTCAGAATGGAGTTCCGGCACCTTTTTTGGATGGAACCTTGTAGGGTAGGCAAGGCAGGTTGTATAATGTGTGTGAGTTCCCCCACCTTTTTTTTTAAGAAAAAAAGCACTGGTTATTACAATATTTCTTATTGGCAGACAATAATTCTGCATTGTATTTTATGATGTGTTTTTGTGTCTTTCCTCTTACAGAACCCTCTAATAAAATTAACCATAATGAAGCCAAACATCTGACAGATGATTCAGGCTCTGAAAAGTCAGAAAACTTGGCAAAGAGGTCCAAAGTGTCAACTATTCGGAGGGTATTTGACATGGCCAAACATCGAACCAAGAGATCCTCTTTTATCTCAACTGGAGTGAAGGTCTGCCCTCAAGAATCAATAAAGCAAATTTTAGCAAGCCACCAAGCTTATTATAGGCTAAGAGGTAAGAGTATACTTCTATTATTTCCTATCATCTTTTATTTATCCTGTATCCATATCCATGCAACATTTATTTGCTAGTTCTTGCTAGAAATAAATTTAGCAGTGGCTCTCCAGACAGTAGGTGATCTTTGGCAAATCAGCACAAAGTCTACTAATCAAGCTAAGAGGCCTATTTTTTATTACTTTTTTATCTTCATATCCACAAACCTTAGGAGCAAATGATTTTCAGGTCTGCCTGTTTCTGCATAGTCTTCTTTGTGCCTTTAGATCTTCAGTGTAGTCCCCTTTGCAAATTCCAGTATTGGCATTTAACAGCATGGATAATTTGGCTTTTTCTGTGTAGATAGATCCCACATTATAGAGCAGTGTGCTCTGCGCTGACTTTCTGATTGCTATTGTTTAGAAGAGGACATGTATCTTTTTATTCAGGGCTTTTTATTTAAGTGGACTTTTTATTGTGGTTCTTAATACATCTTTTGTATTTTAAAATACTAATATATGGAGAAGACTCAAGGTGCAGGAGGCAAGGGGAAAAGGGAAAGTGAAAGGGAAAGGGAAGGGAAGGAAAGGGAAGGGTTCAGGCCCGGTTATGGTACAGAAACAGTTGCATATCCATCCTTGTTCTTCTTGACTTCTCAGCAGCTTTTGATACCATCAGCCACGGTATCCTTTTGGGTTGGCTGTGGAGCTTGGAGCTCGTTGGCACAGTCTTGTAGCTGTTTGGATCCTTTCTCCAAGGCCAGTCCCAAATGGGGTTGACAGGGATTGAGAAGACCAAGGGGCTTTGGGTGAATGGAGCTTCCAGCTCCAGGTCTTTAACATCTTGAATTCTGGTTGGAGTTCCATTACCCCAAGCAGACCCAGTGCACAATCTGCGTGTTCTCCTAGACTCCTGTCTCCTATTTGTTGAGCAGGTGGAAATCCTGGTATGTACAGCTCTGTTGACTTTCAGGAAGTCCTGAAAGATTTGGCTTTTTTCAACAGCCTCTAGGTTAGAGTGATTTGTAACGCTCTTCTGTATATGTTATTTTGCATTTTTATTTCTGTACATAAATGGTTATTTTCCTTGGTGACTACGATACGTCTGTTATAACTCTTACCTGGGTACACCCCTAGAGTTGTTTCCACCCCTAGATGGCTGAATGAATAAATATGTATACAAAGTTAAATTAAAAGTATATACACATACAACATACACATTTCAAATAAAATAAAAATCCTCTCATGTATTCTTCCATCTGGTTTTCTTGCAACCCTTGTATGACATTCAGAATATTTGAAACCTAGCAGAAATGTTGTTGTTGTTAATTTTTCCTTCCCTACTTTTCCTTTGGCCATTTTTTAAAATGTCTTCTGGTGTATCATTCCATTTCCCCCCCAATCTTTTTAAAAAATCTGTGTAATTTTGAACCAGGGAACTCCTGCATGTCCAGCATGTATTCCAACCCCTGTGACAAATTCAAGACGTTTAAAAGAGATGCAATAGGTCTTAAGAAAAAACTAGGGATATGAGATGAGATGATGCCTCTGTATAGTACAGATCCTATCTCTGTACAGTAGCCTGTTAAAATTCAGGGGTTTCTTATGAGACGGCAATGCGGGCAAACCAAGCCTCAGTTTTAAGCCACTAGAAGCCACCAAAAACTACTTTCAACTTGAAGCAGGCAGGGGTCACATGCACATCGGTGAAAGATGGGGTCATCTCTTCCTGCCCTCTATATCGGGAGTGTGGCCCATACTTAGAATGTGGCAATCTGACACTAAAAATATACACCCCGTACACTAAACCAGCCTTTTTCAGTTGGGCTTCTTTGGAATTTTTTTTTTTGGGGGGGGGGCGCTGTGCTAGCTGTAGACATACAGCTTTATTGAAATCCTAAAAATATTTCAAGAGTTCCTCCAGGGTAAAAAGTTGTGGAAACCTGGGAATTGAAGTCTAAAGGTTGCCAAGTTTAAAAAACACTGATCAAGATGCGGGTATACAGCATTATTTTAGCTGTTGCCTACCCTTTGGGGTTTCATGGAAAAGTGGTTTTTTTAAAAAAGAAAACTAAGCTTTCCAAACCTAAGTATTATAATAAGTCTGACTCAACTGCAACATAATTCTTGGACTACAGAGTACAGTGCACTGTAACATAATACTGCACTCTGGCTAAGATGCACTCATCAGGCAGTTTGTTATAATACTGTCTATGAATCTATGGTATTCATTATTTAACAACCTCCTTTAATTCAGCCACAATAAACTACTATCAGTTACTTAGTTAATTTAATTAAAATTCCTCATCTTATGAATGTATTTAAAATAGACACCAGGCAGCCTTCAATACTGAAGTAATTCAATCATTATAAAGCAAAACATGAAGCCATAAAACAACAATAATCTCAAGATAAAAATGACACCAACTCTACAGAACTGGTAAAAGCAAATTATATAAAGCCACATTAAAAAAATTGGTTGCCATGATTTTTCCAGAAAGCATAGAGAATGCAAACTGAATGCAGCTCCATTATTAGGGTATTAAAATAATTTGGGAAGAATATGGACAGATTTTCTTTCCTGCCTGCTTCACAAGTAGTCCTATAAATGGCTTCTCCTGCAAGACTGCAAGAGGGTCCTTCAACTTCATCAGCATATGAATACAAACTGGTTGTGATAAGATGCAATAAGCAAGCAGTAGCCTCGTTATGACATTTTGCAGAAAAGAAAACATAAATAATGTTCTTTGCTATTGAACCATGATGGAATCAAAGCATCACTATCCACCGTCAGATAAGACAGATTCAAGAACAGTTGCAGGTAGCTTGTTCAACATTATTGTAGTAATATGTCCTTGCTAGTGCCGCATAGCCTGCCTTGGATACCCAGGGATTGTAGACCTCTTATTCCTTCCTAAAGCCCTTGTGATCTAGGTCCTGAAAATCAATATCTTCTGGATGTTGTGGAATCACGTCCTTTTCATATTTAAAGCAAAGAAACTGTTCCTCCCAAGGATGAAGCCTCTTTCATTGTCGCCTCTGTATGTTACATAATAGGGATTCTGCCCAAAGGCAGTAGCCTATTCAGAAAATTTATATAGAAAGGCTTTTGCTGGGAATCCTGTCAAGTTTTGCACTGATTTAAAAGGCCATCTTGGTTCCCTAGGAGATTTTAGCTTGTTCCCTTAACACTGAACTTATTACTCCAAGATTTTTAGTGGCATTAATGTTTCCTCTCTGCAAAGGCCAGTAAGTATCCAGCTTACTATGACAGTAAGGACACAACACCTGAGGGTCACTCTCTTTGACTTAACTGACTTGGAGAAGGCCATGTGGTGGAAATGTACCTGCACTGTCAAGCCTAGAGACCTGACATTATTGTTGTTGTTAGTTGCGAAGTCATGCCCGACCGATCACGACCCCATGGACAACGTTCCTCCAGGCCTTCCTGTCCTCTACCATCTTCTGGAGTCCATTTAAGCTCATGCCTACTGCTTCAGTGACTCCATCCAGCCACCTCATTCTCTGTCGTCCCCTTCTTCTATTGCCCTCAATCTTTCCCAGCATTAGGCCCTTCTCCAGTGAGTACTTCCTTCTCATTAGGTGGCCAGAGTACTTGAGTTTCAACTTCACGATCTGGCCTTCTAAAGAGCAGTCAGGGTTGATCTCCTCTAGGACTGACCGGTTTGATTGCCTTGCAGTCCAGGGGACTTGCAGGAGTCTTCTCCAGCACTATAGTTCAAAGATCTCAATTCTTTTGCGCTCAGCCTTTCTTATGGTCCAACTTTCACAGCCATACATTGCAACTGGGAAAACCATGGCCTTGACTATACGCACTTTTGTTGGCAGGGTAATGTCTCTGCTTTTTAGTATGCTGTCTAGATTTGCCATAGCTTTCTTCCCCAGGAGCAAGCATCTTTTAATTTCTTGCCTGCAATCCCCATCTGTGGTAATCTTGGAGCCCAGGAAGATAAAATCTGTCACTACCTCCATTTCTTCCCCATCTATTTGCCAGGAATTGAGAGGGCTGGATGCCATGATCTTGGGTTTTTTAATGTTGAGTTTCAAGCCAACTTTTGCACTCTCCTTCTTCACCCGCATCAAGAGGCTCTTTAGTTCCTCTTTACTTTCTGCCATTTGAGTGGTATCATCTGCATATCTTAGATTGTTGATATTTCTCCCAGCAATCTTAATTCCAACTTTTGATTCATCTAGCCCTGCCTTTCTCATGATGTGCTCTGCATATAAGTTAAATAGGCAGGGCGACAGAATACAGCCTTGCCGAACTCCTTTCCCAATTTTGAATCAATCAGTGGTTCCGTTTCCAGTTCTCACTGACACATCTTGGTAATTTTGTGCATCTTGTTGGAAACAGATCTCATGGTGGCTGATTTGATGGGGAAATTGAGCTCTATTGAGCTTTTGGAGCCGTTTTTAACTTCCTCTTTCAATCCTGTAGGGCCTAGATCATCCCACTGTGGACAATATTCAAGAGACAGAGATAGCCTTCTAGGGTGTTCTTTTCAATGTGAGGCTTTGCCAAAACGTAAGACGCTCTTCAAAATTGATTGTGAAAAGAAAAAGAGGAAATCTTGTTTCTGTTGTCCAGCATGACATCCAGCATTATGTCCTGTTTTCCAACTGCTCTGTTCTTTTTTACCTTATCTGTATGACAAGAGGAGAGATATTTATTTTCCAACCTGCTGGTTGGTTTTGTGTAAATTATTCTGAGATTAGGTCAATCTCTTATTAAGGAAGCTTTACCCTCACTTTCACTATCCATGTTAGTAGCGAGTCAGGGCTAAATCTTGCCAGCAATGATATCCTGTCTGTCCTTGAAAGTAGACCAGGTCAAGAAACAGATACCACAGTGATTCCAGGAATAACACTTTATTGTTGTAGAGTACACTATAGAATCATGAAAGCATATCAGAATTTCTCTCTGCCCCATTTTATACCAGACAAAATCAAGGTGAGGCTATATTGACTTTCTTTCTTTGGACTAAAAATTGACATGTCCTTAATGCTTCGTCTTCTTTCCCCAAGGTCATTTCTCCACAGTGGTCATTCTAGTCTTATCAGAAACATGTTTCCTAAAGTAGTTATTCAATGGGTTTTCAGTCATATGCAACACCTCACAGTTTCATAACACAATACCATTACTTGGGCATTGAAATGCCCATGATCTCTGAATTTATCTCCCGTTTCTCATTGCTCTTTTTATAACTCTCAAATCTCACTGCAATCTCTAGTGATACTGACCTGACTACTTGAAACATTTGTGGTATTTTTTCCTGGGTCATGATACACTACTGTAACTATGTCTGTTACACTGGCAATCTTTTGAGTTGCCTCCTCTTCCCAACTGTATCTACTGATATCATCAGATTAGGTTGGAGGGCCATCTTATGAGTCATATCTATTAAAAAGTTCCATCAGACAGGATTTAGGAGATGAGTTTTTTCTGCTGTAGAACATCATTGGAACATCATTACTACTGAAGTGAGACTGACCCAGACCCTATTAACCTTCTGGAGATCTCCCCAAAATATGTTCCTTTTTTCAGCAATCCTGGAGAATCCTTAGAAACAAGGAGCCTGCGAGATGGCTTTATTAAGTATGAGGGATTTTATTTAAAAGAAAACACCTCTCCTGTGTTTTATTACATGTACATGTTATTGTTTTTAAATGGTTATTTAAGAATCCTTGTTTATTGTTTCATTTTTAACTTATGCCATCCAGAGTCACTCTGAGATGGGGGCTATATAAACTTTATAAATAAATGAAAAAATAGGTGAATAGATAGATGATAGATAGATAGATAGATAGATAGATAGATAGATAGATAGATAGATAGATAGATAGATAGACAGATAGATAGACAGATAGATTAGAGAGAGAGAGAGAGAGAGAGAGAGAGAGAGAGAGAGAGAGAGAGAGAGAGAAAGGCTCTTGGAAGAACTTGTTATTGATTGTGGCATTGATTCTTAATCAATATTGCCTGTACAGTTTCCTAATGGTGAGGAGCAGGATCAGAATCCTCTCTGTTCCTTAGAGAATTTTTCTGACTATGGTGTGTTCTTCTTATTTGAAAGTAAAGCAGGGTTATTCTTCAACCTGGTTCAGGGTGGGTCACTTTGGATATCTGTACTCCCACTCTTGTCTAGACAGCCAAAGATTTATAGACATACGTGTGTTTTGAGTTCCCACGGTTGCTGGCCAAATAAAAACATTATAGGTTGACTGTAATGATAAGGGTTGCTCTTGAAGGGTTGTTGATAGTCTTTACTATCCACCAGGCAAAAGTCAGAGGGCTGCCAGGAAGCTTTTTTAAATTCAGAATGGTGGACCAAAAGGTGTTGAGCCTTATACTTAAGCTAATTGACACAGAAAGTGGGGACATGGTTGAGCATCCAAAGTGTGACAAGTCACATTCATATGAAGTTTGTGGAAGCGGATGAGAGGGGATTGAGTACCTAAAAAGGTTTTTCCCTCTTTTTTTGTCCCTTCTCTCTCTGTTCTCTGCCCCCAAGATTTTCAATCTGGTTTGATCATAATTGATAAGATTGTATGTATCAAGGATAAATGAAAGGCAAATCAGATATTTACAAAACAAGAAAAATCTAAGGGTAACAAGAAAAAGAGAGCTTTTTATTTTGGGAAAAAATTAATGGGGCAATGAAAGGAATTGCAAAGTGAGATTTTTTTTTCTCATGTAGTGTAAAGAAAAGGATCAGGCATTATTAAAAAAATGGGTTTTATGTTTTCTTGTTTAGAATGTGCTGTTTTCACCATCTGGTACTATTTTTCCCCTACTGTGCCCTCATTTGCCTCCATTTTGAGACTCTTGCTAATTCATTTTAATGTGCATTAATTAGGAAACAAAAGATTCAGTTACTTTTCACAGAAGGATGATTCAGTTGTAGCATTTCTCCATACTTCCAATGCTAGCTAGGTCCCTCTGCTTAGTGAATCTTGTTAGCAGTCTTTACACAAGGCACATTAAAAAGGTATAGGCCTTTGATCTCATTCCTGTGGGCACCATCTCAACCTTTTTTCCCCATACCTTACCCCCATAGTCACCCCTGTGCGTAATTAATAAAACAACACTACAAGGAACACTGGCTTACATACAAATATTCTAGAGATCATTGATTCAACAGTAAGAGCTGGTAGTTTGGAAGAAATGGAACAGGGATACTCCAGGGCTATTATTCTGACTTTCTATGACTGAGTAAGCATCATTTCACTGAGATTGTCTGTCTTAACCAGGACCCCTGGTGGCGCAGTGGTTAGAATGCTGTATTGCAGGCTAACTCTGCCGACTGCCAGGAGTTCGATCCTGACCTGCTCAAGGTTGACTCAGCCTTCCATCCTTCCAAGGTTGATAAAATGATGTCACAGATTGTTGGGGGACAATAATGCTGACATTTGTAAACTGTTCAAAGTACTATTGAACAGTATATAACAGTAAATGCTATTGCTATTAGTTGCTTCCTTGAGTTTCTGTAAACTCATGGTGGTATCACCTGCATCTAGCCACTCTGTCTGCTGTCAGCTTTTTAAAAATTGTTTTGGATATAGATGCATCCAAAACATTAAAGTCTTAGCTTCATTATACAAGCTTGGCTTTTAAATTTGTTGGTGATAAGCAAAACATTCCTTCTATCAATGGACACATAGAGTACGTTTAACATCTCCTGGCAAGATAACTCCATAAAAAAAATCATGAGAATGCTTATAAGATCTAAACCACCCTGGGAAGGCCAAAAGCTTTTGATTGAAGGCACTACGAATATAATACTAATTTAGCATTTTACAATTTTATTTTGTTCAACTACCTTTGTTTTTTGTTTCGGTTCATCTCCAGCATACATATGATCTATAAGAAGTCTGCTCTCCTTTTCAACAAATTCAAGCTGGTTTGTGTGATACAAGAAAAACATTGGGCTTTTATTTGTTAGGAATAGATTAATGGGCTTCTGTGACCTGACTCGCACACTTTCAGTTTCAAGCAGCAGGTTGTCAAATATTTGTGTGCATATTAGCCCTTCTTGCTGTGTTTGTTGTGTTAATTGCATAAGACTACTAACAAGAGTCCATGGAGGAAACTGTTAGGCCTCTTCCTTACAGCCATGAGATTTTAGCCTGCTGTGTGCTGGTTCATAAGCCTTATTAGCTTTGTGCATTTGCATATGCTTGGTCCTATTTACCCAAATGAGAAGGCAGAAGGCTTCCCAGAGCCACAAGGGATATTATGCCCCATCCTAGTTACTGCATTGGTATTTCGTTTAGTTATTCATCCCCAGGAAAGATCACTTAAACATTCAACCAATTAGTGCAAACAAACACAAGGGGAAAGCTGTTTTCATGGGGATTCTGCTTAAATCAAAGCAGACTTTCTTGTTGTGGAAGTTCATTGAGAGAAATAAAAGAAGGAAATCACGCACGGAGAGCAAGAGTGGGCTTTCTATTCACAGATGACGCCAGGCCATAGTTTATAGATTATGCCCTGTTGAACAATCTAGAAACAAGGCAGAATCAGTCCTGTGGAGAAGCAAAATATGTATGGTTTGTCCATTTTTAATTGTTTTTTTCCCCTCCTTTTTAAAGCTCACCTAAACAGCAAATTAACTAGGGATTTACAAATCAACCATGTACCCTTGTTCACTGATCGTACTATGCAGCAAATGTCCCAAAGACGCTTTTTCATAAGGCAACTTTTAAAAAAAGAAAGAAAGTCCAGTTGCCTCGTGAAAAAGCACCTTTGGGACAACCATGACCTGGATGACTAAGAATCTCCATAGATATTTATGCAACTAATGTAATCAGTATGGCAACCACAAAGCATATTCCCTCCTCTGCTGTAATTACCCCCCCCCCAAAACACACACACACACACACACACACACATTTTAGGCTAAAAATGAAGTATGTGTTCAAAATTAAAATTAAAATTTAAAAAATTAAAATAAAATTTCTCCTCTTTGGGTGTACAAATGAAGCATTTCTTTAATCAGAATGAAGATGAAAATATTCTTCTGAGGTAATATTGAAAGATATGATCAAAATGAAATCCAAAGTATTGATTTTCTGGTGAAATGATGCGCCTTTGATTTGGTGTTTGGTTAGAATGAAGGCAAGCAAACCTCTGCTTTGGACTGAGAAGTCGGTCATGTCAAACCTGGAAAGGATTCTTCATTTTGTTGAAGTGTAAAAGCGCCCTTTTAAAAAGTTGTTTCAAGAAGCAAACTATGTATCACTTTCCCTTCTGACAATGAAGCAAAGCAACCATCTCACTTCACTAGGTACTGCTTTGGTGCTCCTTCCAACATCTTTCTTCTGAGTTTGCCAACATGATTCTCAACCAAAGGTTGGGAAACCCTACTAGGTTTTCCATAGTGTGGGTTGAAATCAGTCTGTCTGGAGCATCTTCTAGGTTGACCATCAGCATCTCCCAAGAAGAATAGCTCTAGCACATGCTGCAGGTAATTTAAAGGTCAATGAATCTGAACCACATTGGCCAGTGCTGAGGCCAAGAAAAGCCTTTTCTCTCAGTTCTGGTCCAAAATAGTTTAAGGCCAACTGGACTGCTGCATCGAAACAAATTGGGTGGCTTCTTTCTTTCAGCAAAGTAAATCCTGCTGTCTCTGCAATGCGAACAACTCCACTGAAGCAAATCACTTTGCGCTTATCTATGATAAGTCCCATTACCTGGGACAACAATAAATTATTTGTTGTGAATGAATGCCAAAAACCAACCCTGATATATTCCATCAAGATGAAATGTAAAGTTGGATAATGAAATCAAGCAAAGAATGATAATGTGACCTAAGATAGATATCAAAGGGAACAATTGCATGACTATGATCAAATTTGGCGAAAGACTTTCTGTAAAGTCCTTGTATTCTTACTGTGTTCCTTCAGTTTGCCAGGAAGCAGTATGGGAGGCTTTCCAGATCTTTTTGGATCGGATTCCAGGTACAACCGAATATCAGAACTGGGTGACAGCTTGTCAGAAAGAAACTTTCTATATATTTGACATTGGGAAAAATTTTAGTAATTCCCAAGAACACCTGGAGATAATTCAAAGGGTAAGACTTAAAATGTGTTTTTAACTATGTAGAAGTATCTATATATAGTAGCAATACATAGAAATATTAACAAACCAAGAAAATTACTAATAATTGAATCATGCCAGACATGATAATGCATCATTGTCTTCTGATTGTTGGTTGGTTAGCTCCCAAATAATCCTCTTCTTTCTTTAAAAATTTTCTTGCAGAGAGTAAAGCATAGGACATTCCAGGATAGGTAAGTAATCAAAACAGAGGACTTCATTAGAAGTTCTCATACGAACTGCTGCTTTTTAATAGCAAATATATAAATTACATAGAGATGTATGAATGCTTCTACACACAAACACACACACACACACACACACACACACACACATATGTATACATAGAACAGATTTAAACATACTGACTAAAGACATATTTAATTTCATGGAATGAAGAAAATTATCATCATCTTTCATGCATGAGTGATGTACCTGACTGTCAAAGTACCAGGATCATTCATGAAGAATTTACCCTACAATCCTATCCAGTTTGCAAAAACATTTGAAGTAATCAATCTTTTTTTTATTGAAAATTTTTAAAATTTTTACAAATAGGGAAAAGAAAAAATAAAAAACAAAAAACAACCCTACCCAACCACCCCAACCCTCCCACTCCATCCCCCCCAACCTTCCCAGAGCTGAATATAGGCTTAATTAAAATTTCTAAAAATCTTAAAAAGAAATTAAAAAAGTATAAACCATAAATATATATAAATACATTTCATAAACTTATAAGATAATTAACAATAATATATATGTAAAAAAGAAAAGCATAAATATTAAAAAAGAAAAATGCTTAAAAAAAGAATAAAAGAGAAAAGAAAGAGGAAAAGATGTATATATAAAAAAAAGTAAAATAAGATAAAATAAAAATAAGAAATATAAGAAAAGAGAAGAAAAAAAATACAATCTATAAAATATTGAGATTTATATCTAAGTTATTGAAAAACTAAGTAATATTTTTTATATCCAACTTATGTTGTATAAAATCTATCCATTTTTCCCATACCGCAAAAAACTTCTCTTGCGATTGATCCTTTAAAAAAGCCGAAATCTTTGCCATTTCCACCAAATAAGAAACTTTAAAAAACCATTCTTGCAAGGTAGGCAAAGATTCCTTTGAAGTAATCAATCTTATAACTGATCCATCTATGCAAAATTGTGCACCAAGTTTTAGGATACAAGCACTTAGAAAATTTGTAGTTGCATCAGTAGCCTATAAGGTGAAAGGCTGGAAGTCCTAAACCTCTTCTGTCCTAAACCCCTGAAGTCTACAACCTCATCTCTGTCTCCTGTCTTGATATAGTGACCCAGCTGCCATCCTCTGTCTTGCAACATATGCTTCTATGTGGAAATCTTCCCCTTAGTTGTTCAGTCTCTAAATCTTGTCCAACTCTTTGCAGCCTATGAACTATAGCATACTAGGCTTTCAAAAGCCAATAGAATAAAAGGGAGTAGCACAGCTAAGGAAAAGGGGAAAAAATGGCGGACTGCGTTGTTTGGCAACCCCCGTGAAATGGTCGTTCGACCCCAAATGGGGTCCCGACCCACAGGTTGAGAACCACTGTGATAAAGTTAATTGTTGGGATGATCACTGAAAAAAAATTTCTTTTTTTTTTTTAAATTATCAAATCTATTAATAAAAATGGTTAGCACTAAGCTAAAGGGAATAACATAAAATAGGAATACACAGTCTTCTGCTCCAGGAGCGAAGAAAAAACACGTCTTAGAGCAAAGAGACTAAGTCTAAAACTGGGGTGCAGTTGGCACAGAGGGGGTGGTACTAAATTTCAGACTTAGTCTAATTGGAGCAGATAGATTAAGACAACCCCATCCGTGGGTTCTCCATCCAATCATGCTGGAGAACTGCTGATCTAAACTCTTAACCTCAGTGCATAAGAGAAATGGAAACGATCTTGGGAAACAGGGAAAGAGACTAAGGGAATGGTCAGATTAAAGACATCTTAGCCAGCAGCAAGATTGTGAGTGGGGCCTCCCTAGTTTCTTAGGCTATAAAGACAATAGATGAGACTTTCAGACTTGCAAGACTGATGTCAGCCTTGCAAGTTAGACTGGATGGAAAGTATGACTAGATGAGCTAATTCTATTTTATTATAAGGTTACGTTAACAGAATCTCACAAGTCTGAAAGGCTGTCATTTTCAAAGATAAAATATTTTGCTCTAATAGAAAAAAGAATCTTTTAGGTGACCTGTCCTTGTATAGAACCCATGCCATGCAGGATGAAGGATGAAGTTTCTGAAATAACATAGGAGAAGAGACATGTTACTGTATGGGTAAAAAGAAAAGAAAAGAAATCAGGAGTCTAGTAGCTCATTATTAATATGTGATAGCCCATATTGGACGATGACACTGCATTTTTTCAGGCACTGGATGGCAGGCTAATACCTGCATGCAGCTTGAAGTGGATTCTCATAAGCAACAAGAGACAACAGGCCAATGATGCTAACATGGGAACCAGGTCCTGCAACAAATGTCTATCTCTACCTTGCCCCCACATCTTCCCCAAGAGCACCTCCATAAATTCTAACATTTACCTACACAAGATTAGGTGTTCTTTTTCTAATGTGATATATTCCACCATCTGCTACTAATGCCTCTCTGGATTATTCATGGGATAAATGAGGGGGGGGGATTATTAAAAAAAATAATGTTGACAACCATGACCACAAGACTCAAAACAAAGACAAATGTCAGATTTTTTTTTCAGTCACCCATAATATTTTATAATAGAAGTCAAACTGACTTTTTTTGGGGGGGAGAGGGAAATGGGACTTTAATATTACCAATGAGTGAGAAATTGTGGAAGTCATATACAGTAAGTTTTCAGGCAATCTCAATGAACACAACAGGTTTTTAACAGTTATAATAGTTAATTGATAAGGTATTTGAAATCTAGTTCACATGTAACCCTGCACCTGCATTTGTCTTCCTTCCTTACTCCAATTTAAATTCTAGACCAGTCTGGCTACTCTGTGCTTCTGATGAAGTGAGCTGCAGCTCATGAAAGCATGTGCCTTTTAATTGTCAGAAAAGATGCTACATGTATAAGACTCCTTCTGATGCCTGAGATGGACGTATCTAGAATGTATCTAGATTGCTATGTCTAGATACCCAAGGCTGCCATTTATAAAAGAAGTCTGACTCTTCACCACTGAACTATTGAGTAGTTTACTAGTGTAAACTGAATCACTTTCATAATCCAAAATGGTTTCGCTTTCCAACTAATCACGATGCAAAATAACTGAATTATGTAAAATTAAATTGTATTTTTTTTAATTATCACCTTCTGATTTCATATTCATTTTTGACAAATGATTTATTTAAATAGTATATTAAGTGATATAACATTCTGATTTTGTCTACATTTTCAAGATGTCCAGTTAGTATTCCTAGTACTAATTAGGCAATAGAAATCAGCGAATTCTATGGATTACAATATGATTCATAGAAACAAATAGCTAGTACCCAAATAACTGAGGTATATAGTTTCTTTTTTGGGGGGGAAAGCTCTCCTAATTTAGGGTTTACATTAAAGATGCACTGTCTGAACTTAATTTTCTTTATTGATAATGATAAGTACATTTTTGATGAATATTTGCTGCTCATCTGATGAGAGCTGCCATAAGGATTTATGCTAAACAGTGTTTCCTTGGCAGGTTTCATTTATCAGGAGCACCATGAGCATATTGGAGAGATAAATTATGGAAAAAACAATGTGAGCCTATTTTGTTGTGATTCTTTATTTTTAATTTGTAAAAGCCTATCTTTAGACAGAATATGGCTTTAATGTCTAAACTGGAAAGAAATGAATTCCTGCTGCTCTCATTTTCATAGTCTAATTTATAGTTTTGCTTATTACTTTTTTGTCCCAGAAAAGAGGACATTTCTGCAGAAAAATCCAGTGGCAAGAAATCTGAAGAACCACCTTCTGTCGCTACAGGTAAAATTAAGCATGCATACTATATGTGTCTATGAGTTTACATTACATAGTTCAAGCTTGTTATTGTTTGAACATATAGTTCAGAGTATGCAGATGCAGTAAATAGCGCAAACGAAATATAATGTAATGGAATAGGTTTTTATTGTAAAATTTGGTTTGAGAAATATTTTAACACTTAAACTGCAACATTTTAATCATGTAATATTTATCATGCTTTCTTGGTGAAGAAAACTGGTCGAAGCTATCAAAAAATAAATTTGCAACAAGGAAATCCTTTTGCATAGAATTAAATAACAAGTTAATATAAGTTTGCTTTCATTAGTTGCTATAAAAGTGAATGGCTGAATGGGCTAATTAAATATTCTTCCCCATACCCATAGCAAATATATCTGAAATCATGACACTATTGATGTAGAGAGTAACTGCATAAATATGGGGGGGGGGTTTTCCCAGAAGGCTTTACTTCTGAGAAGGGGCGTTGTCTTACCGGAACGCCTTTTCTCAGCATGATGAGTTTTCAACTTAGTCTTATTGGAGCAGGAAGATTAAGGCAACCCATTTGTGGATTCTCCATCCAGTCATGCTGGAGAATTGCTCATCTTTCTCTAGAATACCAGGAACAGAAAATTCCAGAGTTCAATAGAACTTTCCAGCACTAAGTCAGGAATTTTACACCTTCCTTGAACATACCCATTAAAAAAAAATAATTATATGAAAGAGATAATGTACAGTTTAGCTCTTACTGTAGCATTTAATCCTAGGCACATTTATGCAGTGATGTCTCATTAAATTCAGTGTGATCTGGTTTCTCCATAAAATTGCAGCTTTTTCACAAATACAGGTATTAGAATTATATGTAGCACAAGACCTGAATTTATGTTTTGGTTTTAACTTCTGTTCAAAAGGAAACAACTCAGTTTTATCAATTTTGCTCTTAATTCTCATGATATTGACTAGAAAGCCACACTAGAAATAATAATAATAATAATAATAATCCTTTTTTATTTTTGTTTCCCAGTGATCTCTACAGATACCATTGTGAATGAGATTGTCAATGACAGCAAAACATCAGGAAAGGTGAGGAGTCAACAGCATTCTCTCTACTAAAGTGGTCGCACTTCATTTTCCCAACCCAGCAATTCACAGGATGGTCTAGCTCAGGGGTCTCCAAACTTAGTAATTTCAAGACTTGTGGACTTCAATTTCCAGAATTCCTCAGCCAGCTGGCTATGGAATTCTGGGAACTGAAGTCTACAAGTCTTAAAGTTACCAAGTTTGGAGACCTCTGATCTAGCTCATCACTGATACTTATTTTTCCTCTGCTTCCTTCAGTTAGAATGTACATATCGAATAGGGTCTCTCATCTTAGCTAATTGTGAATTATACTTCTTGCCTATGCCTAAGGAACAGAAACAGACATTGAAGGATTGCACCAATGTCCAAATAAAGCTTTTTTCATCATTATATAACTCACTTCTTTTCTACATAGTAGAAATGCAAGGTCTCAAATCTAATTCTACAAACCAACTGAGCATCTCCACAATCTTTCTTCTCTGGCTTTAGTGTTTTATTTCCTCTCCTATGGTATTTCTCTATCTTCTAAGCCTGCCTTATCTGCCTTTGCTGCCTGTAAAGCGAAAGCTACTCCTTTGATTAGCATTTCAGCTTTTATATTGCTCTCTCTACCCAGTCCCTTTAGAGATTTATTCCAAACAGATGTCACATGCTTGGAGCCATATTGTAGCTAGCACAAGCTCCAGAGATCCCCATGATATCAGAATTGTACCCATGTTTGAGTAATCCCTCTAACTCCAATAAGTGAATTACTTCAATCCCCTTGAAGTTAAACAGGGTTTTGCTGGAGGCCTTTCTTGTGTTTGAGTCTCCTTGAGAGTAGGTTTTATGTATCAATTAGCAGTAACAGAAAGCATTTTCCTCCTTTCGGCTTTCTGCTATAATAAGAAAGTAGAGGAGAACAAAGGTACCTGGAGAAGGCAAAAACTGCTGCCTGCGTTTTCCCACTTTGGAATGATCCAATGGAAGAGACAGCCTTATTATCATACTCTCCTGAATCCATTCATATGTGCTTTACTTTTAAACACTGGTAAAAGGTTAGTTTTTCATTAGCTAATAAAAAAACATAAAGAACGGGAAGACATGGGTAGAAAGAGAATATGTAGCTTCTATATATTCTGACGGAAATAACATCAGGAACACTATCAGTTGTGTATGTGTTGTTCCCCAATCCGGATCTGAGCCTGGTGCCAAAGCCAATGAAAAACACCAGACGCGAGATGCAGGTTTTGTTTTCTTTTATTAAAGCACTCCAAGAAAAGGGGTCCTGGCCAGAAAATGCCTAGGAACCTCAAACAATAGAATTAAGAAAGCTTTATACAATTTCACTAAGGCAGAAGGCGGGATAAGGCAGGATATATAAGAAATATTATCTAATAAACATTTCAGTAATGATCCTATTGGGTTCTAGCCATCCCTATTCCTAAGCCTTGGCTAATGAATGCTCCAGGAGCTATATAATACACATTCTATTTGCTCCAGGCCATCTCTATTCCTAACTTCTAGTTGTGGTATGCAGGATGTCTAACTCTTTGTTACTGTTATCAGTTCTCTAAATTGATACAAGTTTTACACATGCATATTCTCTGTGAATAAACACTCTTTGTCCTTGCCAGATAGGCTCCACAATTACAGGAGTCCCTGTTTTCTTTCAAGTGTATGCCATAGCCTTCCTTTGTTTTAGCAGACAGCCCATTATATGTAAGCAATTTGCCTACAAGGCTTAGTTGTGAAGCTTACTTTGATACACTGTATTTTATATATGTACTATCAACTTGAACATTGGGCACTATCTAACAAAATAAAATTCAATGAGTGAAAAAAGTAAGGTTCTACATTTAGACAAGAAAAACCAAATGCACAGGTATAGTATAGCTCAGTGATGATGAACCTTTTAGAGACTGAGTGCCCAAACTGCAACCCAAAATCCATTTATGTATCGTCAGGTGCCGGGTGAGCATGGCCTATTGGGTGGGCGTGGCCCATTGGGTGGGCAGGGCTGCAGTGGTAACGGCAGACTGGGTGGGACTAAAAAGTTCAATCAATCAACTCCAACTTTGTGAGATCTTTTTTTTTCCCCACGAGAAGTTGAACTTGATTGATTGAACCTTTTTTTTTTTTTTTGCACACGGCGGCGGAGGCCTAAAGCAAAAAGGTTTTATAAAACCCAGCTGAAGGCCTAGGCCTGGGGTGATGGCGCACATGCCCAGAGAGAGGGCTCTGCATGCCACCTGTGGCACGCATGCCATAGGTTCGCCACCACATGTATAGGTGGTAACTTGCTCAATAGTAGTAACTGTGAGAGGGATTTAGGAGTCCTAGTAGACAGTCACTTAAACATGAGCCAGCAGTGTGCTGCAGCTGCCAAAAAAGCTAATGCTAGGCTGCATTAACAGAAGGATAGAACCAAGATCATGTGAAGTGTTAATACCACTCTACAATGCCTTGGTAAGGCCACACTTGGAATACTGCATCCAGTTTTGGTCACCACAATGTAAAAAAGATATTGAGATTCTAGAAAGAGTACAGAGAAGAGCAACAAAGATGATTAGGAGACTGGAAGCTAAACATATAAAGAATGGTTGCTGAAATTGGATATGTCTAGTTTAATGAAGAGAAGGACTAGGGGTGATATGATTGTAGTGTTCCAATATCTCAGGGGTGCCACAAAGAAGAGGGAGTCAAGCTATTCTCCAAAGCACCTGAAGGCAGGACAAGAAGCAATGGATGAAAACTAATCAAAGAGAAAAAGCAACCTAGAACTATGGAGAAATTTTCTGACAGTTAGAACAATTAATCAGTGGAACAACCTGCCTCCAGAAGTTGTGAATGCTCCAACACTGGAAGTTTTCAAGAAGAGATTGGACAGCGATTTGTCTGAAATGGTATAGGATTTCCTGCCTGAGCAGGGGATTGTACTAGAAGACCTCCAAGGTCCCATCCAATTAGTAGTAGTAGTAGTAGTAGTAGTAGTAGTAGTAGTAGTAGTAATCATTGCACAGTCAGCTAGAGGTTCAGACAGGATTTGGCATTTTTGTCTATCTATCGAATCCTTACCAAGGACCTGGGATAGACAGATGTAGATGTTTGATCGTATTACAGATATCGTCATAGGATGGAAGCAGTTCCTAGTAAGGCCGCCTTCTGCAATTGACTAATGGCGAATTTGTCAATGTCAATAGTGTTCAAGTGGTGCTCCAGTTGTTTTGGGATTGCACCCAAGGCGCCTATTACTATCGGTACTACCCTTGCTTGCTTTGCCACAGTCTTTTTATTTCTATTTGTAGGTCTTTGTATTTTGTTATCTTCTCTAGTTCTTTCTCATCTATTCTGCTGTCTCCAGGCACTGCCACGTCCATTATCCAGACTTTTTTGTCTTTCTTATCGACAATTGTTAAGTCCGGGGTGTTGTGTTGCAGGTGCTTGTCTGTTTGAATTCTGAAGTCCCAGAGCAGTTTAATTTTATCATTTTCTATGACTTTCTCTATTTTATGATCCCACCAGTTCTTGCTTACAGGCAAATGATATTGTTACTACTTTGTCATGCCGCTGCTTGTAGTCAGTCTGTGCAATCTTCTTGCAGCAGCTTACCAGGTGGTCCACTGTTTCTTCAGTTTCTTTGCATAGGCGACACTTACTGTCTGTTGCTGTCTTCTCAATTTTGACTTTGTGTGCATTTGTCCTTAGGGCTCGGTCTCTTTCTTTAATTTTCCTGCTCTTAGCCATTGCCAGGTCTTGTTATTATCTGCTTTCCCAGCTATTTTTTTTTAATGTACTGGCCATATAGTGCTTTGTCTTCCCATGCCTCTATTCTGTTCTTCATTTGGTCTTTCTTGTAGGCCAGTTGGTCTCTCCAGTAGTCAGTAAGCCTTCCTGATATACTAATTTCAGTGCATCTTCATCATTGTCCTTCAGATATTCTTCCAAAGCCATTTTTTCTTCTTCAACCATCTGATGTACTTGCAGTATTCCACACCCACCTATTTGCCTTGGTAGATAGAGTCTGTCAATGTCACTGCATGGATGAAGGGCATGATTCATTGTCATTATTTTTCTGGTCTTTCTATACATTGCTTTTAATTCTGCTTGAGTCCAGTCTACTATTCCAGCTGTATATCTAATGACTGGAATTGCCCAAGTGTTTATTGCCTTCATGGTATTTCCTCCATTTAGTTTGGACTATAAGATCTTCTTCACTCTATTGATGTATTCACCTCTAATCTTTTTCTTGACTTCAGTGTGCTTGATGTTGTCAGCTTGAAGGATACCCAAGTATTTGTAGTAATCTTCCTCATCCAGACTCTTAATGTTATTTTTGTGGGGCATCTTGATTCCTTCAGTTTTCACTATTTTTCCTTGTTTGATAGTAAGTGTGGCACATTTGTCCAAGCCAAACTCCATTGCAATATCTTGGCTATATAGACAGACAATGTTGACCAGCGATTCTATTTCAGATGATGTTTTTCCATACAGCTTCAGATCATCCATGTAAAGGAGGTGGGATAGTCTGGCAGATGTTTTTGATGTTTGACAGCCATGTCCTGAGTTATTCAGTATTGTTGACAGAGGAAACAGTGCAATAATAAATAGTAGTGGTGATCATGAATCTCCTTGAAATATTCCTCTCTTGATATTAACCTCTCCCAATCTCTCACCATTGACCTGCAACTGTGTCTTCCATTGTGCCATCGATCTTTGCACAAATTTTCTGATGTTTCTACTGACTCCTATTATTTATAGGCACTTGATTATCCAGTCATGTGGCAGAGAGTCAAATGCCTTTTTGTAGTCAATCCATGCCACATTCAAGTTGGTCTTCCTTTTCTTGCAGTTTTCCAAGATCATTTTGTCTATTAGGAGTTGATCTTTTGTTCCTCTGCTATTGGGGCAGTTTCCTTTCTGCTCAGGTGGAAAGAGATTGTTTTCAACTAGATGCTGTTGTACTGCATCAGCTACCACACCAGTTAGCAATTTGAAAGTTGTTGGTAAGCAGGTAATTGACCTGTAGTTGCCTGGTGTTGTCCCTTTTGCTGGATTTTTCATTATTAGGTAGGTTTTCCCAGTTGTTAGCCACTGTTCAATTTCTCCTCCTTGTAGTATATTTTTGAATTGCTTGGCAATGAGTGGATATATAACAGTTACCGTAAATGCCGGCGTACAAGGCGACCCGGCGTATAAGACGACCCCCGTCTTTATAGCCGGGCCGCATTCCTAGAACGTCGTCTTATACGCCGGAAACTACCAGTATTTCCGGCGTATAAGACGACTCGGCGTATAAGACGACCCCCGTCTTTGGCGCCGATTTCAGCACTTGCGGAAGTCGTCTTATACGCCGGCATTTATGGTAGATGTTTCAACCAAAACCCATGCAGTTCATCTTCACCTGGTGCTGATCAATTTTTGATCTTCCTTGCTCTTTTTTCTACCATTTTTGTTGCTATTACTAGTTCTTTCATTTCAACTTCTGTTTATTTGCATCCACCTCTTTTAACCAAGCCGCATCCTTGTATTTCTTTGGATTATCCCATATCTGCTTCCAGAACTGCACTGTTTCTTCCTTGTCAGGTGCTGATTGATTCATTGCAGTTTCTCCATTGATGGATTGGTAGAAACGTTTCTGATTGGATTGAACTTGGAGGTTCTGCCTATAATTTGCAATTCGAGCTTTGTATCTACTGATGTTCCTGGCTATAGCTGTTATTTGCTGCTTTATTATTTCCAGTGCTTCCTTGATCTTCCTTGTTTCTAAGTGGTATTTCTTGATTAGGTATTCTTTGGCCTTCTTGTTCTTCAGTTTCTTTTCTTTCATCTGTTCTAGCTTGCTTGCATGTGATCTTAACTTGCTGATCTTATTTTCTAGTCTAATCTTCCATTTTTGTGGTGCACTGTTTGTTTGTTTTTCTTCTTTGTTGATTTTGCATCCCAGGTATTCAGTTATAACTGCAGCTGTGCTGTACATTAGTTGGTTTGTTTCTTGCAGTGAATTGGTGCTCATACTTGATATTGCAGTATTTGCATCTTTTAATGCTTGTGCTAGCTGTTTCTTTGGAACAAGCTTCAATGCAGGCAGCCTTATTGTGTTTTTTTGTGCTGTTCTAGATGCTCAGTTATTCTTTGTTTCAATTCTTTTATTTCTTTAGTTAGAGGGTTTTGTTCTTCCTGAGGTAGAGGCGCCTGGTTTCCAAATGAGAACAATTGTATATCTCTGCTGGATTCCTTCACTGCCAACTCCCCCTGGTTTGCCTCTGAATTATTTCTGGCAAGCCTTTGATTTCTTTGCCCTGGGTAAACCTTTGCAGTTCATCCAATTCTGTTTCTGTGAATACTTTATTTTATATTATAAATCAGTGTTGATCTGTTAGTCTCTGTTCTGTTATTTCTGATTCTGGATGTTGTTCTTTCCAGAACTGGTACATTCATTTTAGATATCCTCTTCTTGTTGGACTTGATCTGTAATAACAGATCATTATTTCTTTGTTTTCAATCACTGTGTATTTGTGACAGGTAAACACCTTTTCTTCCAGTAGTTCTGCAGCTGCTGGCCCTGGTTGCTCAGCCAATAGCCCTGAGTCCTGTAACCCATTTTTCACCAGATATCTAGGAACCCCAACATCTAGTGTGGACCTTGTTAACCTGGGCGACATCTGAGCTGGTATGGCTTTCTGAAATTTACGTCTGACCATATTTTTTATGGGAGAGACACTCTTTGTCTGACTCCTCTGATGAGACCTGTCCAGTATAGTTGAACCTCTGGCATAGCTCTCATCTTCCTCAGAGTACACAAGCCCCACAACCACATCAAGGTAGTGCCTCACTGGGGGATGATGATAATGATGATGATTTTCTAAATTTGGGTTGGGGCAGTATATAGTTTCATAAATAAACAAATTCATAATCCTGGTGAGGCAGTGGTTAAAGTGCAGTACTGCAGGCAAACTCTGTCCACAGCCTGGAGTTCAGTCCTGATGAGGTTCAAGGTTGACTTGGCCATCCATCCTTCTGAGGTCAGTAAAATGAGGACCCAGATTTCTGGAGGCAAAATGCTGACCTTGTAAGCTGTTCAGAGAGTGCCGTAAAGTGCTATGGGGTAGTATATCAGTGTAAATGCTATCACTTGAATGTGTAGTAAAACCATGTACATCATAAGAGGTAACTTCCAAAATCCTAAAGCAGCTATCTATATCTTAGTGCCTTGTAGATAGCTGGGACTTTAATCACTATTTCCTTAAGGTGGTGCAAAATACAACATAATTACACACATAGTGTAAAGAAGTACACCCAAAGAATTTACACACAAAGTAGCTACAGTGAAAATGGCAATAATACAAGTGGCATGAAGAGCTTCTTCTTAAGATATGACCACCAAGCTATGCCCTTTTTCAATATTTCTTGTTTCATTTCCCTGACTTCCTTGATTTTTTTTTAATATACAATGTTTTGTTGCCTTTGCTCCTTTTCTTCAACCTTCCCTCCCTCTTGAACCTAGGGTTCCTCAAGCTAAAAGCTCCTTTGATTGTGTGGATCGTGCCTTAAGGCACTCAGAGGATGAGTTTCATATTAGTGTCAAGTGTATTCTGAGATTTCTGAAGTGGGTTGGAAACTGATTTCCTCTTTTGTTCTCTTGTGAGCTAAAGCTAGAAGTTCCAAACATCATTTCCAAGCTGCCTGTGGAGCAGACAGTGGAGTTCAGTGTCACTCTCAACAACCAAGAGTATACACCAGACCTGAATAACCCAGCTTCTCCTCTGTATCAGAAACTAGCAGCAAAATATCAGCTCCAGGTAAAGCACTCCTCAATAGTAATAGAACCTATCTTTGTCAGATGAAGTCTGTTCCTTTGTTTTTTTTTTAAGGAAAACATCTTATACAATACATGTTGTGATTACTGAATACATAGAAAATATACCTCTGGTTTGCTAGGCCATAGTTAAATGTATAGGTAGTCCTTGTTTATTGGCTGCCTCATTCAATGATTGTTCAAAGTTACAGTGGTGCTGAAAAAGCAACTTTAGAACTAATGTCTGTGTTTATGACCTCTGCAGCATCCCACAGTTATGTGATCACTACAGTGAGTGTGCATTGTCCTATGTTTAACCTCTTGTTTTTCCTCCACCCCCCACCTTGAAGAGAGGAGAGAAAAGGATTACAAGAGAGTAAGCCGACACACAATGGAAAATATACATTAGAAGGAATGCAGGATAGCACTGGCAGCCCTAAACGTATTGGGGGCTGGGAGCTGCAAGTGCACTACACAAATATCATAATTTATTCCCTGTTGTGTGGTTGCTTATTGTCTTGGAATCCTTTCCTTTCCAATCTCTCCATTCTGTAAGGGGGAGGGAGCAAGTAATTTCTCTAGGCAATCTCTCCTGTGCCTGACCTGTTCCCCCTCCTAGAGTGGAGAGATTGGAGAGGAAGCAGTTAGAAGAGAGGAAGCAGGTAGACAATGGGGAATATACCAAGCTATTTGTATAGCCACTTACAACTTCTGGTGCCACCACAATGCTTTCAGTTGTATTCCACATTTTGTGCCTGCTTACTCTTTTGTAATCCCTCCCTTAATGTAAATATAAACATTAATTCCATTCTTGATTCCAGCAACTGGGTGAGCATTCCAAAGGGCCAGAGATTGATTAGGAGGCAAAAAAAAAAAAATCTGAAGTTATGAAACTGATCAGTCTTATTAGTTTCAAGCCAGCTATCCCAGTGCTGTCAGTAAGCATTCTAAGTTCAGGGAAGAGGGAAAAGGGAAAACACAACTGAGGTCATGTGGTTTTCTACATAGCCTACCACTTTGTTTAACAACAGAACTGCTGGTCTTAATTGTGGTAAGTTAAATGAGGACTGCTGCATTTTATTGAGATAGAAAAGTGAGATTATATTTTAGACTTCAGTTCTCTTTACATTCCAAGCAACTTAGTACACTGTATTATTTGGGAATTTTGAGCTATTGGTTTTTTTGTCTTTTTTTTTTAAAAGAGAGTATAATCTATTCACAGTTAAGCACTTTTAAATCTCACTTATTAAAGTTATGTGCTTAAATCTTACTGGAATAAGGAGAAGTAAACTTTGGTAACTCAGACTCTCCCATCTGTTTAATCCTTCAAAATGACCCTTAAAACATCTAGTCATTGTCAGATTGTTACCATATGTGATGATCGATAAAGTGCCTTCATTTTACTGTCGTATAAGCAAATGGTGACAGAATTTTATTTGTGCATTAGAATAAAGATATATCTGCACATAAGCAGAAGCAGGCTGCAGATTCATTTCCACTTAACATTGCTTTCTTATGGATGTCTGCTCATATATGTACTTGGATAGCAGATAATTCTCCACGTCTACCTCTGGACAGGCTAGTGTCACAAGGGTGATATCAAGGGTGAGGTTACTTAACCCAACTTTGTCCCTGTTCACAAAATGGAGTTAGTCCCATATTTGTAGCACAGGGAAGGGCTAAGATTAGCAAGCTAATGGCTGGAGTTAGTACATTTTAACAATCAGGATCCTGTTCATTTCCCATATCATCTCGGGGCTATAAACAGGCTCCATAAATGTCCGTAGATTTTAAAAATTATAGTCAGTTCTAATTGTTCAGTGCTTGGATTGGAAATGTTCTCCCTGACCAGAAAAAGGAGCCAAAATAATAAAGGAACATCATGCTGATTGTGCTGGCTTTAGAAAGTGGCTAGTAGCATTCTTGGAAGTAAGTCCCCATTTTGTGAATAAGCCTCTCTTAGCATTTTCTAAGCTGCAAAGGTTAGTAATGCTTAAATTAAATATTAATTAAACATATGAACAGTAACTGTTGTTATATGATTTTAATATTGTTATTACAGTTTGTTAAAAAAACTGCAAACCAATTTGGAGAATAAAGGATGCATCAATTCAAATATTGTGCATATTTCATTATTGCATAAAGTGCTACAAGTACAGAGTACTTTATCCTGATAAAATAATTAGCATGTAATGTGAACACTTTATCCTGTTTTAAGTAATGGATAATATCAGCAAGTTACTGTACGCAAGGTAAATTACAACCATTTCACATTAAAATCTTCCATGAAAAATGTCAATAATAGCTGCTAGAAAAAATATAGAAAAGGTCTACTTCGTAGCCACTTGCCCTGCTTGTATTTAGAGCCAAGTATCAGAGATCATCTCAGGAATGAGAGGGAATATCTTAAAAGATAATTTTTTTTCTAACATTGTGAAGGGATTTATAAATTGACATAAGTATTTAGAGCCAGATCCAGAAGCTAACCCTGGACTAGTGAAGGTGATAAAATATTAGGATAAAACCATAGAACAGATCAGCTCCAATCCTAGCCATCATATCTTGTACTAAAAGAAGTCACCAGACTTTATTCAAGGGCAATTCCATGTACAACCCTTTGTAGTTACCTGTACAGAAGCTTACAAAAGCAGGAATCCCTGAAGGGGATTCTATTTCTATACCAATAGGATTTTAGTTTCTATTTTCCCTTTATTACCTGCTCTTTCCCTATTCCTCGTTCAGGGAGGGAAACAAAATGAAATAAAGATCATTAACCACCTGGGGTGGATCAATACTGCATTCTATTTTAGGGTGAGAAGTTGTTCAGCTCTGTCAGAATATCTGTCTCACTGACTGAGCCACATGTTATGGAAATCTGCACAGATGTGAATTGTTACTGGACATAAATATGAAAAGAAGCAAGGAGAAGGACTAGGAAATTTGAATACCTCATGGGGAAGAAATTATGTATCAATACAGATAATTTCCTATTGGTGTCCCAATTTAAGTTTAGTTAGATCAAGGTAATAAGAGATGTTACTGCATTATGCTGCAATATATACTGCTTAAAAAAAATAAAGGGAACACAAACGTATAGGATCCTATACATTTGTGTTCCCTTTATTTTTGTGAGCAGTATATTTTAGTATGGGGGATTTTACCTGTCTCCTACATCTTCAATAGAGATAGCTTTCATTAGAAATAAAATGATATTGGTGCAACTGTTTCACAGAAAATCTACCCAATCAAAACTAACATTAAGATCATGATATGTGAAAGCAAGACAGCATTATTTATTCCTTAAGGATTACTTGTTGCTTATTTATACTATTCCCATGGTAAAATCTCCCAGCTGTGAAAAATATGCACACTTAAGAAGAGACTTCAAGCTTCAGATATATATATATCATATATATATATATGATAACAGATCTATTGGAGGGGAAGGTGATGGAGAAATACACCACAGATCTCTACAGAAGGGTATTTACAAGATCTGCCAAAGAGACTCCTGAATGGATAGTTCCATTAATGGAATCCGTCTTCCTCTTGTCAAGAAAAATATCTGCTAAAAGCAAGATCACGTTTGTGAGCTATACTTTTTTATTTTAAAAAATGCATGTTTTGGTAAGTTGAATATGGAAAAAGATAATTATATTACAAAATGGCTTATTTGGGGAACTGTCTGTTTTAATTTTTCACAACAAAATAAAATTTAATGACATCAAAAAAAAATTGGAAAAAAAAGGAGGATCTATGGGAAGTTGCCTGTGAAAGATCCATTTGGAAGTTGGAAAATGCAAAAGTTTGGAAATGAAAACAAATGCGAATCATTTTTTTTAACAGAATCTTAAACAGAAAAAAAAATCAGAATATAGACCTATCACTGCAGATAGTAACATACCGTATTTCTGCTTCTGCATGTCTCTATGAGAGGTCGGTATTACTGTCCTGTTCTCCATCTTTTTTAATGTTCTCAGCTAGACATGACATCTGTTTCTCCACCAATAACACACTGCCAGTATCTCTATAACAGACTGCAGATCTAGCGAATCAGCAGAGTACGTTAGACCGATACACCATTAGGAAAAATTATTTGACCCCTAATCAGGAATTAATTGGACAATTCTCTACAATAATTGTATTGAAACAATAAACCTAATGATCAATTTAAGTACAGCTGTGGAATGCAATTAAATACTGATGAGCCAGAAAACTCCAACATATGCATTTTCTCTGTCATTCTCTGGCCATTTTTCTCCTTCCTCTGAGCTAGAGTGAAGATAGCAAGTGTGTATCATTATCAAAGATTAACTGACACTTCATTAAATCTTTGAGAGTCAGCAAGTAATGAATCAAAACTTGCTTAGATGACCGCTAAGCAGAAATCAATGTGAAAAGAGTATTGGTGAGAGACTGTTTGATGTGGTAGCTAAGGTGCTGGCCTAAAAACCAGGAGACTGTGAATTCTAGTCCCAGTTTAGTCATGAAAACCAGCTGGGCCTTAAGCCAGTCACTCTCTCTCAGACCAAGCTACCTCATAGGGTTGTTGTTGTGGGGAAACTAGGAAGAAAGAGCATTATGAATGCTGCCTTGAGTGACTTATACAAAATAATAAACATCTAATAAATAAATTGGCAGATGATTCCTTGGGGTATTCTTTTTGCCTTTTGAATTTCCAGATCTGTTTCAAATGTAAGACTCCTTTAAGTAGCTTTGAAAGAACTTAACATTCCCTTCTGGAATATGTTTTCCTGAAAAGTGTACAGTAGAGAAAATCCTTTCGGTTATTTTGCTACATACTAAGTTTCAGAATTAATAATCTGTTTGTCCATTATTATGTTATGGGTTAAATTACATTTCCATTTTAAAATGAGATTTCAGACAAATAAATAAATCTTTACAGTTTGAGCCTAAATCAATATACAGTTGGACCGAAATTAAATCTAATTTCAGTTTTCTTGAAAGTATTTCTGCAGACTGAAGCGTTAATTAATTGAACAGGCACTTGTAAATTTGTCCTTTATGCAGAGATTCCATGCACTCCTTCAGATAGAGATTCAAGGGCTGCTTTCTTCATGCTATCCTTGGGGGATAATGGAAGCTGTAGTACAGAACACCTTGGAAGAGCTCAAGTTAGGAAGGCTGTTCTAGAAAATGCAATGGTATAAACTTTATTTATATGATATATTTGTTCCAACATATATGGTAAAAAGTCTCATATCTGGAATGTTTTATAGATACTGGCACTCTATTAATTATAGAACAGAAACAAGTTCTGTAATGTTCTTTTTACATTCAGAGTTGTGTTTTACAAATATTAGAACAGGGTCTGCTGGGAGTAAATATTAAATAAACATTTTAGATGATATTTGATAATTTCTCTGATTGAGGAATGGGCACATAATTACCTTCACATTTTTTTCTTTTTCTCTCTAATAGATGCAAAAGATATTTGAAAAACTTGCAGGTTTCAAAGAAATTCGTGTCTTAGGATTTAGGTAAGTGTCACTGCTTTTTGATTTTAAAGTAACAAGACTGTTGTTATTATTCATTTACTGTATTTATATCCTGCCTTTTCTGTGAGATCTCAAGGTGATGTATATTAGGACTTCCCCTCCTTTTGTTTCTATAGCAATCCTAGGAAATACTGTGGGGCTGAAAATTAGTGAATGGTCCAAGTTCCCCAATGAATTCTGTGATTAAATGAAGACTTAATTAAGTAGAGCCCCTTGCCTACTTCATTACACTTTCTCACTTTCTCTCATTAGAAGAAGACATCAGGAGTTTGACTGAACAGCCTTTTTTTTAAGCCTTTGAGGAACCTCTGATGATATTAGTATTGGTAGTCGTAGTAGTTTAATTGAAAATATTTCTAAATTAGTTTTGTGACTTTGCAGATTTTCAGTCTTTTATATTGAAAAAATTGATAAGGTTCTAGAACCACAAGCTGGTTCAAAAGATGATAAAAACTGCAATTTAATTTAAAAGTCTGCATGTTTTTCTTCACCATTGTAGAATTGGTTATATAAATTGTTATTAATAAAACTTTCTTCATCGGCTTCCATTAATACTTGTAGGATGCTATACAGCAAGTAGTTTGAAGTCAAAAAATTTGAAAGTGAAGTTAGCAAGTTTATCTTCAATCCCCAAATATCTATGAATATAATTCTTAATTTCTAAGGGATGAATAGCTATGATTGACTGGGGAAAAAGTGATACTATATAAAAGACAGGCTAGGAATACTTCAGAAAAAAAGAACTAGTAGCAATGCTTTTTAAGTAATGTATAATTTAAATGAAAAATGTGTGATTCCAGTGCAGAGAAAGTGTGAAGTGAAGTGAGCAGCAGAGGATAATGACCTGGAAAAATAACATGCCACCACAACAACATTCCCTAAACTGACCTTTCCTCAACACTTTTCTAGGCTATCAGGCTGATGCTAACATCTAACATTCATTGGCGGTCACTGATGTTCATAAGTCTCTGATGGATCTACCAAGGTTGACATCTTAACTGCCCCTTGCCATCATAGGAAGAATGGGGTTTCAGCTAGGATCTCCTTATTTAATTTTTGTGTCAACCACACAACTATAAACATCATCTTGAGATTGGCATACACGCCCATCACACATTTTCCTTCTCAGAGTAAGCAATATTATGCATAACAAAGAAAAAGAGTAAGAAACAGTAAGCTACTAACAAAGTCATTATCAAAGTAATAATAGCTACTAAAAACATAAGGATGAAAAATGAAATGAAATATAGTTAAATCTATAACACTAAATTCATTCATTATATCTCTCCATACCTTATGTCAGTGGGGGCAAACCTATAGCACGTGTGCCAGAGGCGGCACTCAGAGCCTTCTTTGTGGGCACATCCGCCATTGCCCCAGCCCCACCTCCCCATGGCCCCCTCCTCATCAGCATCCCCCCTGGAGGAGAGTCACCCCCGAGCGTGGCCCATGCGGAGCAGCACAGCCAAGGACATGGCAGTCGGGCAGTGGGGACAAGATTCCACCCTCGCGGCCTGTCACGTGCAGTTGATGCTGCAGAGTGTGGGTAGAGGACAAGGCTGTCATGGCACTGCTGGGCCATGGCACTGCTGAGCAATCTGCAGCAGGCCGTGACGGCGGTGGGTGGCCCTGAGGGCAGGTGGGGAGGGGCAGAGCAGGGGTGGAGCATGTGGGGTGGGGTAGAGCAGGCAGGGAGGGGAGCAGAGTGGAGGGTGGGGCTAGTTTTGGGGCACTCAGTCTCTAAAAGGTTCGCCATCACTGCCTTATATTCTTGCCAAACATTTTTGCTTCTACCATGTATACACACACACAATTCATATTGCCCTTTGGTTTTTAAACTTCTCACTTCTTTTCATTAATTTCCTCCAACAACTTTCTCCATTTCCCACTCTTTCTCAGTCCAGTCATTCTTCCATCATATATATGTTTTGCAGTTTGGATGCAAAACATCAAATTTGTTTCTTGGTCTTTGTTTCTATATAGTCAAACCACTTCAGTACACCTCTTCCATCCTTATCATTCCCATTTGACCAATTCCTGCATCATCCATTCATTCTTCACCTTGTGTCTTTTGGTTTAACACACACACTTCTTAAGTGTCCCATTCCCACATAAGTTTATTTTACGTTTCTCCTGACATATACAATTCCTACTTTAATATAATAACATATTTGCACAAAACATTCCAAAATACAAATCTATTTATTTATCATATCCTTTCTTTGAATCAATAAAGAGTAAACTTACTTCCTCACATTCATGTAATTAGAAGATGTGGCTCCTAACAATACATCATTTAAGCATATTTTGACCCATTTACCACAACTGCATCCAAAACTGTTTTCTGCCAGGCATGTTCACACTATTCTATGTAAATTAGATTTCTGAATTAGAGACTTTCCTACAAGCCAGAATAGATCTGCCTACATGCTGCCACTTAGAAGGTCTATGCCAGGGGTCCCCAATCCCTGGTCCATGGACCGGTACTGGGCTGCAGCATGCCAGCAACCAGGCCGCACAAACAAGCAAAACCCCATCTGGGGGATGCAGGCAGCACACAAAACCACATCTCCTCGGGTCCGTGGAAAAACCTCTCTCCACGTAACTGGTCCCTGGTGCCCAAAGGTTGGGGACCTCTGGTCTATGCAATGTGCCGACACAACTCGATAAGTTATTCCTTCCTTCTAAATAAACAACAAATATTGATATTTCTTGGTTTTTCTCTTTGTCCAGCAATGACTCTACATAAAATTGAGAGTGATTAAAAATAAATCTGAAAAAAAATGGTAATTACTGTAGCTAGACATGAATTCCGTGCCTCATCCAATCACAGTTCAAGACATTAATTTCAGCTTGTTGGCTGCAATTTGGATATAACGTATTAGGCTCCCTGCTGATTTTTGCATTCCACTGAAGATAATAAGTGGTATCACTTTTAGCTGGATGTTCCTTGCTCCAATTTCTCCCCTTTTTCCCAGTCCCCAAGTGGGAAATAGGCAATTTGTTAATGTTTCTGAGATCTATATTTGTATGCTTTTGATTTCAAAACATGCACACATGCATGCACACATACACACAATATTCTGCTTAGGAGATATAAAATAATCTTAAACAAATGCCAGAAGATTATTTCCTTTCTAAATTTGAGAAAGCAAAGCTCTTTATCACCTTCTTTTTATTTATTTCTGTTCTGACATGTTGTTATTTAGCATTTTTTTCCAAACTCAAATAAGACGTGGTTAAAAAAAAAATGAAAAGAACAATGACCCTAAATTCTGGACAAAATAAAACCAAAATCCTAAGTCGGTATAAAGATTAGTGAACTAATGTGAATATTAACCCAATAATGTCACAGTGACATGAGCTAGTGAAGTCTTTGATTATTGTAACGCTTATTCAAATCTTTAACTAATTTAATAAATGTTTAAAGATGCCTTCATTAGTATTCATTACATTTCTATAGTGTGAGAATGATAAGCTTCTTAAGATTCTGTTCAAAAGAAATCCTGGTCACTTTACCCATGATAGGTTTTGGCATATCTCTACTGCTCTCTCAGTTATGCTAATTATCCAAAACCCAGTTCCTCACCATTACAAAGGTGTAACCATTATCAGGTTCATTATAGCACACTGACTGTGCCGGAATTGGAGGAGGAAGGAGCACAGTCCCCCCCCCCCCGTTCCCTTCCTCCATAATCAATTTGTGTCTGCTGATAGGAATTCAAATGTCGACCTTATTTTATATGTCAGAGTAGTAATGTTAATATGCCACAGGACATGGGTCAAATTATTTTACCTGTCAGAGTAACAATGTTAATATGTCATGGGACATGGGTCAAATTATTTTCCTCATGGATCTATTCTTCTGCTTTCAAACCTGCCTTTATAGCCCTGTATTTTTTATTCTAGTATAGATCCCAGGGTACAAAACGTCTGAGAAACAGCCCAAGAATTCAGATATGAAAATAAGGCAGAATAGAAGGGAAAACTAACAAAGGTGTCTAAGGCTCCGAGATTTCTCAGTGGTTGCTTTCACAATAAGGCCCTTTACAACATTTCCCTTATACGATTCTGAAGTGAGTCCAGTGAAGCTTTCTCTCAGGCAAAGAGATTAGAGTTTGTAGGTTTTGAGGAATCAAAGTTGTGTGTATTAGCTAGAATTGGAATATCATTTAACATAGTGCTGTTTTATCTGGCAGTGACTTGCCTTGTGGATAAGATCTTTGTACAATGTTACTGCAGGGAGTGTTTCATTTAGAGGAGCCATTTAACAAAGGTCCCCTAACCTTTAAAATAAGCCTTTTTAATAATTCCATTTTTTATTTGGGACTTTTTTATTATTAGTTTCCTTAGATTATTTCCCCCCTTTCTTCCCTTTATCTTTTTAAAATGTTGAAAGTTTCACAAAAAAAATAAATATACTCAAGGAAAATATTAATGAAAGTACCTCAGTACTGGGAAGATCAGAATTAGAATATAATTCATTGTGATTTAATATAATTTATCCTTCTCATCTTTTCATCTTTCTCTCATCTCATCTTTCCTACTATCTTCTATTGGTATATTATGATTTATCAATGATTTATTGGTATATTATGATTTATTTATTATATTATATCTTATGATTTATGACCTATGACAGTGATGGCGAACCTTTTAGAGACCGAGTGCTCAAAAACCGCCCTGCCCCATTGGCTGTCTCCAAACCCCCCCACTCTGCCCCTACCCCGCCCGCCCATAGGGCCACCCACCGCCTCCATGGTCGGCCGTAGATCACCCAGGCAGCCCTGCAGCACCATGGTGGCCACGCCCTCCACCCACACCCCACAGCATCATACATTATGCTTAAATAATGTAAAACTTGGAAGTATAAATATGAAAAGTATAAATTTGAATATTGATGGGAAATTAAAAATTGGGGAAAACAAATAAATACGATATTGATTGTCTATAAAGATTGAATGTAAAAGTAATTAAGATATATACAAGTTAAAAAAATGTAATAAACATGTCTTTACATAGTTGATAAAATAAGAACTGTATTAGTTTAAATATGAGACAGTATATATTAAGAGAAAAGGAGAGGAAGTATTTGATGTTGAAATACGGGAAATTTTGGTTATTAAATTTAAGACATTTGGAAATTAGTAGAAAATAAGAATGTTATACTGTATTATCAATTAGATGATGTAAGATGGTAAGAAATACAATATATTCAAATAGATAGGACATGTATCTTGAACATTAGATTTTGTGATGAATTGTGGTAAAAGAAACTTTGGTTACCCAAAATTTGGAAATATTAAATGTTCAATTTAAATATTGATGGCAAACTAAAAATTGGGAAAAACTAATTACAGGATATTGATTGTCTATAAAGATTGAATATTAAAGCAATTAGGATATGCATAAGCTGAAAACTATTGATAAATGTAACAATGTTATTTTTACTTAATTGATATAATAAGAATTGTATTAGCTTAAACACGAGATAGCAAATACTAAGGAAAAAAGAGAAGAAATATTGAATGTGGCAGTTTGAGATTTGTACTAAAGATTTTTGTATGTTATTGAATTATTGATTAACCCAGCCACCACGTTGCTTTTTAAATACTTAAATGTAAATAAAGTATTTAAATAAATAAAACTTTTTTTTAAAAAAAAAGTCAACAACTGCAGTGATTCACTTAACAACAGTGTCAGGAAAGGTTATAAAATGGGGCAAAATTCACTTAACAAATGTCTCGCTTAGCAAAATAATTTTGGGCTGTATTGTGATTGTAAGACGAGGATGACCTGCGTAAGGAAACTGTTAATTAAGAATTGCTGTATTAAGGTTACATGTTTCCTATAATTGCTAGAAACTGAGTTCTAGAATGCTGATAGCTAAAGAAAAAGGAGGGGGGGGTCTTTCTTTTGGTACCTTCTTACCAGGGGTGTCCACAGAGGAATCAGAAAATTCAAAAGGATGGCTCTGACAGCATCTTCAAAGCCTTAACCTTTTCACATGCATTGCATGTGCAACACGTATTGCACAATCACAGCCATCATCTTGACTTTTTTGACAACATCCCCCAAAGACTCCTGCCTTTTACACATATCCTTTGTTAGCAGAAAGAAAGGTTTTCTAGAAGACCATTGGAAATTGTTGTGTAAATGATGACTCAAGGGACAAAGAATGGGGGGGGAGGGAAGAACGTAAAGAAGTTACAACCTTTTGCTAGCAGAATGGAAAAAGTAACGGTAGTGAATTAAACAACTGTAATGATAACAAACAGGTGTTTCCTCTCCTCCTCATCATTTCAGTGTGAAAAATGCAGAACATAGCATAAACAAGAGGTATATATGCCCGCAATCAGTTTAATGGTTTGATGACTTTTTTTGTCTTTTTTCTTTTTGAATGTTTCCATCTATCCTGTCGTGTGCTGAACTGAAGACAGAAGAAGGAAAAAGATGGGTAACTTTCCTGCAGATTTTTTTAATAGGTGATATATAATTAGTTATAGCAGTAATGTTAAATAAATCGCTGTGTTTTCTTTCAAATACAGAAGAAAATATTTTCTTGAAATGACATTGTACAGTCTAGGCAAAATAAAATCGGGTAGATAGCAAAAGTCACTGCTATCCCCCAATATGGATAATATGGATAAAGATCTGTGAAAGAAAGCAGAAGGTTGGATTTCCATATTTCCACACTCCTATGTATTTGGCAACAGGCCTTAACCAGTACGTAGTTTTCTTTTCCCCAAATGCTTGACTTATTGTTGCACGTATTTCAGGAACCATGGATCCTCAGAGCTATCCTCTCTAGGAATTTGGACTTCAAAATTCCCTCAGTAGCTCTATGAACACTTGAGATTGTTAAGAGTGGAAGTTCATGCAGCTGGAGAGAAGCCAGCTTGAGAATAGATTATTAAAGGCTTTGCTAGACCAAGGCTTAATATTATATGATATTGCTGGTTTGTTCAGCAATCGATGGCAGTTAAAACAAAAACAAAAAACCTTTAAACTCCACATGTAAAACAAGATCAGGTCCCAATCTTTTTTTCCTTCAGGCTAGAGGAAAAGTAGGGAGATGGGGGGGGGGAGGGATGCCAAGTCTGTGGCTTTGCTCGTATTTATTGAAATGAAACAACCCGAATTGTTTCCTTTCCTCCTGAGGTAGCCATCACTCAGAAATCATAACCTTCACTTTCATTTCAGAACAAGAACAAAATAAATACATTTATATGTCTCCTTGGGAAAACACTGTGTAAAAAGAAAACTACTTCCTGAGCTCCTTTTATAAAACTTTGAAATGTTGCTGGAAGGTCCATTCTCATTTGACTCACAAAATGAAATTGTCCAAGGTGCAGATGTTTTTAGATCTCGTGGGGCCTACTCAGGTACTACTGAATTTTCAGTCAAACCTGAAAACTTTTTTGAAGTCTTTATGCTTCAGAGTTTCAAGTATTTTTGCAATGGAAAGCAAAATATATGCCACTTTCCAGTGCTTCCTTTTCCCTTCCATGATTTGCCACTGCAGAGGACTTTTTTTTTTAATAGTTCAAAGGTGCTATTTTTTTTCTTTGCTGTTTTAGAAAAATGTAATTTGTCCTAAAATAATTGCCTGTATAGAATGGTCATTCCACTGGAGCATGGCACGAGGATACTGATAATACATCAATAAAATAGATGCGGAAATCCCTAATTCTTAAAATAAAGAGTCGTTTGGAAATGTATACAGCATCATGCTCAGTTTTCATAGGCTGGATATTTCTAAGAATATAAGAAATATTTATTTCTTATTATGTAATAAGGATTACATAATTCATTATTTATTATTACTGAGACTTCCTTTTATTTGTCTATTTGTTTATATCATGCATTTATTATTTTTATAAATAAGTCAAGGCAGCGAATGTGCCTAATACTCCTTCCTCCTCCTATTTTCTCCACAACAACAACCCTGTGAGTTGAGTTGGGCTGAGAAAAGTGACAGGCCCAAAGTCACCCAGCTGGTTTTCAGGCCTAAGGTGGCACTCGAACTCACAGCGCCTTTATCACAACATCAAAGTGGCTCTAATATAAATCACAATAGAGAGCAAGTCTCGTGACCTACCGATCTGTTCCTTCTTTCTTTCTCATGAAGTGCTGCCCAAATAGGAAGAACCGTAGTCATTTACATTTTACTGTTCTGCTCCCAAGGGTTTATTTCATTAGTGTTCCCCACTCATTAGTGCTATGCTTAGTTCAGCAACGCAAAATCCTCCCTCTTGATATTGGATGAGGGAGAATTTCTGTGTATTACTGGAGCATCCAGAATTCCTAATGGCATCTGTGTCCTTTTTAATTGGTAAATAAGCACTTTGTGCACTTGAGAGAGGTTAAAAAGAGAAAACTCCACTTCTAAAGAGATGGTATTGCTTCAGTGGCCCCTGAGCACTTCTGGATGCCCACCCCACGCCAGCATCAATCTCAGAAGCCAAACATCTTGGATCGTTGACAAGGCTGGGAAGTTTGGAAAACGTCCTGAGAGAGGCAATGGACTGGTCTTGTGAATAAAGCTACATAAAACAGAAGCCCAGTTCGATTTCTCAGAAGAGAACTATGAAGTAAAAAAAAATCATTAAATCTGATAAATAAATAGCTCAAAGAATAGCAATGTGTGAGATCACACACGCACACAATATTAGATTTTGCTATAGGTAATTGATGCTCATTGCATGTCTTTAACTGATTCAGGGACTTAAGAGAAAAAAACCAATAAAAAATGTTTACCATCCTAATGTCTTTTCTTTACAAGGATGATACCAATAGCAATAGCACTTACAGTATATAACACTTCATAGTGCTTTACAGCACTCTCTTAGCAGTTTAAATGTCAGCCTATTGCCCCCAACAATCCGGGTTCTCATTTTACCGACCTCGGAAGGATGGAAGGCTACGTCAACCTTGAGCCGGTGAGAATCAAACTGCTGGCAGTCAGCAGAATTAAGCTGCAATACTGCATTCTAACGTCTGGATCACCACCACGGCTCTTGATATCTGAGTAATGGCTATATTAATCAGAGACTGAGAGGATATTTCACTATTTCTTGAGAATTTTATTTTTGCCAATGGTATTTTTGTTTTCACAAAGACCCGTAAGCCTCAAGAGGGGTGTGACCTGAAAAAAATATTTTTTATTTATTTTATACATTTTAAATTGTATTTCTGTGTAAATGAGATGTACTTCCTAACTGGTATGTTAGAGTAGGTCTTTCAATAATATAGTCAAGACATCCAAGGATCTAACATATCAAGATGGCAGCCACAACCATGTGATTGAAGCCTGCCCCTGAGGCCATGTCATATAAAAGGTCTCAAATCTTCAATCACATGATTGTGTCCATGACCGTGACTTTATTTAACCCTCCCCTCCATGGACAACCTGAGTAAGCTTAAGCTGATGTTTTTAAACTGATATGAATTATATTACAAAATGAATTGATAGTCAATGGCATTTTATTTATGCCTGTCTCCATAAGCTCTGCAATTAAATTTAAATCAGAAATTAGCTGGAAGATATTACTTGTTGATCATAGTTTAATTCAGCACACTAGCTGTAAAATCAATCCTGCAATAATATACCATGTTCCCACCTCCTCCAACATCAACAAACCAATATTCCTTTCTTCCTACACCACAGGACAAGCAGCACTGTGGCACAATATATTGTCAATTTTGCAAGAGATGGTTCAGAATTACCTGCAGGTGGTACTGACACCCAAAAAATTGAAAGCGAGAAGAGCACTCTTGGTGAAGAGAGGGAGATGCCTACATTTGTACCGAAAATAACAGACCTCGAGCAGATCGTTGCCAAACTCCTACAAGAAGATAAATCATCATTTGTGGACTTTGAAACACTCCAGTTTAAGGATGGTCAGTAAGTTACAAATGCTTACTGAAAATTATTTAACATTAATTAATGTTACTCTGACCATCTCAAAGTAATTGGATAGTCCCCTGGCTTACAGATGCTTTGTATTATCTTCCTCAAGAAAAAAAAAGCAGGGGGAGATATCAGAAAGTTGCGGGCTGCTTTTCTGTGATATATCATAGTTGGTAACTAGCTTCCTTTCTGGTTTTTTTTCTAAATCATTCCATCTCCCTGTTTTGGTGCATGTATCTGATTTCTTATTTTGAGGCAAGCTTTGTTCCCTACCTCCCCAGACAAGTCCAAGGGATTTTGGTACTGAATAGTGTTCCTTCTTGTTATTGTTCTCCTCCATTATGCTGACTTTTAATTAATTTATTAAGAAGCCGATTTTAGCAGATAATAAAAAGAAAAGAGCAGCAAATTAGAAATAAAGATATGTCAACAAGATGGTCACATTTGCTTGACTTGCTATGAGACATGCCATTCTTTTATCTCTTACTCTCCACGTACTGCTCTTTTTTTCCCAGCTGGCTAATGTTATTAGCATTCTATATAGTTGCAATGATTTTTGTGTGTCTGCAAAAGAGGTGGTATGGACCCTACAGTGCCTATCTCCAATACCAAACTTGGCTTTCTGTTTGGAGTTCAGAGGAAGGGGAAGGAAACATTTTCTATCAACAGTGGACATAAAGAGTACCTTTTACACTAAAGTTCAGTGGACATTTCAGATAATGTTTTGGCCTCATTGATAATCTCCTGCTTCATTGACTGAAATGCACTTTATCTTGGGCTGGTTCTGAAGGTCATCAGAAGCTTCCATTAGTGCAAATACAGAATTCAACCTCTGGCAAGAGGAGGCTGAGAAGCATATAATCCCAGACTTGGTTTGGCTGCTGGGAACCAGCTCTGTCTAAATTATGCAGGCCTTGAAAGGTCAAATTCTACATTCTGAATTAGGTTTGGAAGCAAATACAGAAGCACAGCAGCCAAACCAAGCCTGGGATTATATGCTTCTCAGCCTCCTCTTGCCAGAGGTTGAATTCTGTATTTGCACTAGTGGAACCTTCTAATGACCTTCAGAACCAGCCCAAGATAAAGTGCATTTCAGTCATTGAAGCAGATTATTGAGTAAGAAAAGGCAGTCTTTGTGTCCACTGTTGATAGAAAATGCCATAAGACAGCAGGGTCAAAAAACCCCAAGTCTCCCTCAATAGTTTTCATGTGGTAGTCAGTTAATCTTCAGATAACTAAAGTATTTAGTATAAATACTAGGGTAGAACAGATTTGAGATGCTTATTTTAATTAGTAATTAGTAAGCATTAGTAATTAGTAAGCGTTCAGTAACATTAGTGGTATTCAGCTGGATGGAATGTATATGAAAATACAAATGGTGTGATCAGGAAGCAGACAGCAACAATTGACCATCTTTAATTTATTTAATTTAATACATAAAGTGTTTGATAATAAAGCTAAATAAATAGATGCACAAAACAGCTTCATTGAATGATCAGGTCTGCTATATAGTAACTAATTACAAAAGGCATGTAGCTTCACTTCAGAAGTTAATTATATTTTGCATAATTTGTTGTCTACCAGACAAAGAACTAACCATTCTGTTATCATTCAAAAATTCTGTATTTCAATTCACTGAGATCCTAAATTTGGAAAAAGTGTCTCCATTTTATTCAGCTCTTTGTTGTTCCCTGATCCTTCCAGAAATGTTTTTTTTTTTTTTTGTAGGAAATTAAAGTCTTCCTAAACCAGACATAAAAGGAATAGGACTGAAAGAGGAAATTGCTAGCAATATAGCAACATGCATCCCTTGTGCCTTCTATTAATACAACTTCTGATCTACCGTATTAATGAGTCAGCTGTGTGGTGTTTTGCCATGTTCTATTATGAACTGTTCTGAGTGTAACAGATAAGGCAAAGCAATAAACTAGTTAGAATTAACTATTTAGAACTGAGCTGAAAGTTCTCACAAATTGTTTTCTCTGAGGAATTTTTTTTTGCCGTCCTTTCCAACTAGTAGGAACGTCCCTTTGCAGAATTTTTGATCAAATATTTTCCATCTCTGTTTTTTGATGCCATCACATTCTCTCCGCAATGGTTCAGAACAATGAAAGATACAGATCCCTGTGGAAGAGATGCGTTGTTGCTGTCCTCTTCCCTTTTTAATCGCTATAGCATAAACTTTAAAAAGTAATGGATAAGACAGTCCTTATTTTTTAAATATAAGTAGCTTCATAGTACAGTCGCTGACATCTCTCTAGAATATCCTATTGCACTCTTGGCTACACACCTACAGAATGCTAAGGAGTTACTGTATATATGGAAGCAGCAGCAGGAGTGGTAGTTGCCAAGAGTCAGGCAAATATGGCTGATATCCCACTTCTATAATTTTGGAAACAGCATAGGATGATGCTTAGGTCGCCCTCTAAATAGAATTGTCCATTTTGAATGCAGGAAACTGGAGTATGAATATGTGTACTTCATATAGATTGAGCCTAGTTGACAGGTACTTCTAGATGAGTTTGCACTCAGTGGAAAACTGAAATTGCTTTGATATATACATAATGCCCCTTTCAAGATAAGATCTTCAACAGTACTTTCCTGCTGGGGAACCTAAAACCTTCCTAAAGCCAGCCACTGGTTTCATTACCCTCTCAATGCAATGGACCCTTTGGGCCTGCCACACAATGGCTAGTAACTGTCCTTACCATCTCCTCCTTCTTCTAGGCATCATCTAGCAAGCTGGAGGGGAGGCTGTCAAGATGAAATAACTGTGGAATCTGCAACTGTGGAAGTGCAGGAAGGAGTTAAGAGACTGGCTAGCCTGAAGTCATTGAAGGGGAGAAGTGGCAGAAAGTAGATGCTCCCTAAAACTTGGAGTGTTTATCTAGTTCAGTGGTTCTCAACCTTTTTAATGCCGCGACCCCCAACCAGTTGTAAGTCGAGGACTACTCAACTGGTGCAGCACCGTTTGCAGAATGGGACTTTTGGCGGGCTCAGCAGGGCAGAGACAGCCTGGACAATTCCTATTGGCTTTTGAAAGCCAATAGAATTAGACTCTATTCAAGAGAGTCTATTCTATTGGCTTTCAAAAGCCAATAGAATAAAAGGGAGTAGCACAGCTAAGGAAAAGGGGGAAAAAATGGCGGACTGCGTTGTTTGGCGACCCCCGTGAAATGGTCGTTCGACCCCAAATGGGGTCCCGACCCACAGGTTGAGAACCACAACATTACATTACTTTTTGACATAATCACCATTCAAGTTGAGGCATGTCATAACGTCTTACAAGGTTTGAAATTTCTTAGTAATAGTCACTCGGTGCCAAATCTGGGCTATGGGGTGGGGTGATCAAAAACATCCCAACGGAACTGTTTTAAAAGTTCTTGGGTGCATCTAGTGGTGTGCAGGCAAGCATTATCATGAACCAACAGCACACTGGAAGTGGTGCCATAGAAAATCCTGCCAAATGTGAAGATGCCAAAGGAGTACTGCTAGTGATGTTCATGGAGCATGGTTCGACCATCAATTCAGAAGTCTACTGTGAAACGTTACAAAAACTCTGACGAGCCCTCCATAAAAAGTGTCAGGGCCTGCTGACTTCCGGTGTGGTGTTGGTTCACAATAGTGCCTCAGTTTGAATGGTGATTATGTCGAAAAGTAATGTAATGTAGTTTTCTAATGTGTATAATAAAAGTTCTGTATCTGCACGTGTCTATCATTGATAACCAAACGGAGGTTTATTTCTGAATTTCCCTCATAAATAGGTGAGCAGCAATAAAATACTACTCTTGATCAACTCCCAGTATTGTTCAGGTTCTTTGTGCCTGATGTTAACCTCACTAGACTCCTCCCCCCAATTCAGCTGCAGATTCCTGGTGTTCTGGGTAATAGCTGGTGCTCTGAGTCCCTTCTAACTGTTCATCTCAGAGAATCATAGCGGAGGAGAGAGAATCCCAAGAAATAGTTTTTTGAGGAAAGAAGGGATCTTGAAGGTATTCCTGCCTTCATTTCCTCTGAAGCAGGAGTCCAAATTGATTGATTTATTGTTAGGAAGTAATCAGATAGTCAGAAGCTCTAGGATGTCATGGTGAAATGCAAAGACACCGATATCTCTGATCAGAGCCTTAAAAAGGTTTTAATTACATAAATTAAGACGCATCTCTTTACAGATTCAGCTAATACCAACAACAAAGGGGAAAACAGCCATTTTACTGTAATACTGTGTTTATAACACAGAATCCTAGATAATAAGTGACATGTTTTGGTCAGTTTTGATAGGCCATAGTTAAGTAAATTTGACAAAAAAAGGACAATTTAATTTGTCTCATTTTGCAGAAATCATCAGGCCGTCTAGTGATATAAATAATGATATGCAGTCAATGGTAACAGATGCTCTAGCTGGAGCTGAGTTGGTGAGTAACTTTTATTGTCTTTGTTCCACAACAAAACTTTAATGGTAAATAAGATTAGCAACCCTTGAAGCCTCAATTCAGCACAGACATAAATACAGGGCAGTAAAGAAAAATAATTGGTAGTGATTTGTTTGCTATTCATTAAAGGTTATCAACCAGCCAAAGTACATACACTAGTCATTTTCTTACTGTAGGCTGAGGCTGGGGCTGCTGGATGGAAGAATAGATTTAGGTAGATTTAGACATCTATCAAAACTCGATACCAAAAAAGATGATTTTGGTGTTTTGAGGAGGGTGAACGCAATAAAACAAAAGAGCATCATTAGGATGATAGGGAGGTAAGAAAAGAAGGGGTGATCCAAGGCCAGCATCTGAAGTTCTGACAGCTTTGGGTTTAGTTGTCAAGGTTGTAAGTAGAGAAGATGAGATATGGCTCTTTGACTGCTAGGTCTCCAATACCTTAAAACCAACCCATTCAACGGGGCCTCTGGAAGTACAATTTGAAAGAGCCAGCTTCTTTCATTGCCAAAAAAGTAATGGCAGTGGAAAACTCCAGCTACAGATTTTAAGTGAAAGAGCATATCTGCAGCAGCCTAAAATGGCCAAAAGGAGCCAGGCCAATTCCTGCTTTAGCAATCAAAACTTCACACTTGTATCCTCGGGAAGAATTGTGTTGGGACAAGAAGGGGAAAATCAATGAAAGGGAAGCTGCTAAACTTTAAGTTACCTCCATTATTGACTGGAGCTAAGATGACCGGACTACCTTGAGATGTGAGATTTAACAATGGTTAAACAAGGCCTTCTTCTGCCATAGGCAAAAGGTTTTGGTTGAGTTCGAAGAATTTCACACATTTATACTCCTTGGCTTATTTATAACAACAGCAAATCAGGATAGATGAATGATCCTTTAGAAATATTCATGGATAGACTCATGGCCTGATAGTTATCTTTTAGGAGAGTATTTTAAAAATTGTAGCATATAAATAGAAATAAAACTTACTGTACTTTTGGCCACAGTAAAGTATAAATGAAGATTGCCACTATTTTTCTCCTCTTTTCTTTTTATAGACCTCTGAAATGTCTTTCATTTATGCAAATGTAGCAACAGTGACAAAATCCTTTATTGAAGTAGATTATCCAGTCTCCACCATGTCTTCTACTGTCTTGGATACCACAGGGATTCTCTTTCCTTCAACATTTAAAGAAATCACTACTCAGAAGATTGAAGATGAAATGACAAAATATCCAATTCCCAGCATCCTGCCCGAACAAGGTAAGTTGTTAGATTCTTAACTAAGCAACAGATGCCTTTCTTTTACCCGTACCAGCAGAAATGAGAAAGTGAGTACTCTCTTAAGCAGGGGTTCTCAACCTTGGCAACTTTAAGACTTGTGGACTTCAACTCCCAAAAAGCTGGCTGAGGAATTCTGGGAGTTGAAGTCCACAAGTCTTAAAGTTGCCAAGGTTGAGAACCCCTGCTCTTAAGTGTCCATTTCCTTGTGTGAAAATGTCTTCTTTTTCCCTTCAGCCAATTATGGATTATCACATTCAAAATTTATGTGTTATCCTGTTATTTCTGAAATAATTTAGAACACATTTTAGTTTGAACAGCTCACTTCCATTTTATGTTTTGAATGTTTTAGACTGGCAATGGCTCTTCCACAATGCAGTTATTTCAGAAACAATTTGCAGAAAGGACCTTTTTTTCCTTCTTCTCATTTTTTTTAAGTATGTCCAATTTTATTTCTGTTCAGCTCAATTATGTTATTTAAAGATCAGAAATAAATAAGGATAAAATGACATTTAAATGAAAATAATTGCCTAAACCCAAGGTCAGTCACAAACTGTGCTTAATTTCCTTTTTGGACATATTTTGAACAATGGTGAGTGGTTTCTAATCCCAGATTTAAAACAGTTACTTAATTAGCTTAAATACTATTATTTGGAATGATGAGAATAAGGTGGAAAAAGAGGGAAATAAGAAAAAATATGAGGTACCTTAAAATAAAGAAAAAAGTAATTTCTTGGCAATATTTTTACTAGCTGAACGAGTATGGAGAAGTATCAGCTATTTTTGGTTGACTAAAATGAAGGTGTATTTTTTAAAAATTAAGAATATTCTTATTTTAATAAATTTTGCTACTGATTCATGAGAATTTATTCTAATTCATTTGTCAATGGGCTTAGGTAAAGTTTAAACACATTCTTTTGGAATAATTCTCTTAAAAATAAACATTTAATACTGGTTTAGTTAATGGTTGTCATTGTTGTCATTGCATAAATGATACATAAATTTATTTTATTAATCTCTGCAAATGTATTTATTTTTCTAGTTGCCTTATGAACAGCTTCTTCCCCTGATATAAGGATGGCCCCATTCCTTTTAGTCTCTAGTCTTTTAGTCTGTAAAACCTTGAAGATCTGGTTTTCCCCTAAAACACTGGAGCCAGGGTCTCAGTGGAACCTGCCCTGTATAGAATTTTGATAATGAGATAGATTCCCACATTTCTAATTTATTTTTATGATAACCTATGCTGAGTTGTGTGTGTTTTTTGTCAGGAGCCACCTATAACTGCAAGGATGAAATTGGCATTTAAATAAATTCTATGAATGAATGAGTCTCTGTGTGAAGGCATAACTGATAACACTGCTAAGAAACAAAACATACAAATAAGAGCCTTTCCTTCCCTGTGAAAATTACACCCCTCCATAATCTCCAAAGTCAGTGACAGCTGTGCGTATTTAGAACTTTGCATTGGAGATTTAAATGCTTGTGCTTTCTCTGGAATGTCTATCTAGTCAATTCATATGTTTGGCACAGTCCAAACATCTAAACAGACTGATATTGACTTCCAGCAATCAATACCAGTTTTATGTTGTAAGAACTTTTGACACATAATCACCCTGGCCTATGGCAGTAATGGCACATAAATTGAAAGTGCATCAAGATGTGTATTGATTCCTCCTCTGATTAGAAATTGTGTAATTGACTCTTGACATGTCCATGATGAGAACAATGTCAGTTGTTTACTGGGCAGAGCGTTTCCCATTCTGTGAATATGCTGGTTTCACATGTCAAGATCATACAGCATACATCAGCCTACCAGCAATAACCTAGACAGTGATGAAATATTTCTGTTTGGAAATTTGTTTTGGAAGAAAGTGTGGCTTTGAATATCTAATCCTGAATAATCTGAAGGTATTTTTAAAAAATCTTTTGGGTGTACAAGGTAGGGTAGTAAGATGAGTTCAATTTTCATACTTTTTCTATTTTCATAAATTCTCTTTGATCACAAGATGATAATTTCTCTTAATATTTCTATTGCAAGTATTGTTCACTGCCTGCAAATATTGTTTCTTGTTACAGGTGTGTTAAAAATGTCAGTACATTAAACATAAAAAAATAAGTCCACTTATGACTTTCCTTTGATTAGTATTTTATATTTTGATGATATGAAGCTTGATATTAGATTAATGCATATAGTCACTCTATATGTTCTGCACTTTGGTTTAACATGTACTTACATTAAACCAATGGGACTTAAAATTAGTGATCTACTCTGGATTTCTCTGGGAAGTTTTCAAATTCACAGTGACTTTTTCCAGCAAAAACATTTTTATGCTAATTACATTTAGATTTTCAGTCTTAGGAATGCTAGTTTAGGACATTACAAACTAATCTTCAACATATGGAAAGATTTTTTAAAATGTAGTCAGTATTGCATAGCAAGATTCTATTTTTATATATATATTAATATATTAAAATGTACTCAAGCCAATTAGATATGCCATAGCTGATGGTCCTGCATACATTGAAAGGAACACATATTAGATAAACATTAGAGAAAACAACCATTGCAATCAAACCAGTCTGGTTAATGCTTTTTTTAAAAGTAATAATTCTTTGCTACCTTTGTTCTTTGTTTTTGTAGGAATCTTGATCTATTCTTTTTTTTTTGTCACTTCTGTACGGGTTAAACTTTGTTAGTTTTTGTAAGCCTTATACTACAGAGTCTAAATTACTTGGTATTAAATTAGCTAATCAAAGGCTTGGTCTATCCAATCTATCACATAACACAGTGCCCACAACAACAGAAATCCATGTTTTAAACTTCCTTTTTAAGCTTTAATATGAACTCTTACTTCTCCCATTACAGATAAACCATATTGTTAAATATTGAGCTCCTAAAACGTAATTTTAAAAGGCTGCCAATTACTATTCTCACTCACAAATATACATGTAATCTCGATATCTCAAAAGCTTTGGAGGTAAATGCCTCTATTTCCTCTGAGGACAAATAGCTTATCATACAAAATGACAACTACATCTGCTATTCAGAATTGCATTAGCAATGTATATAATTTGAAAGCCAAGGATATGCAAGGTCTTCTTTAAAGTTTCGGCCTGTTAAAAGGTATTCACAGAGCATAAAATTTGCACTTCAGTATATATTTCTCTGTTGCTCATTTCTAAGTTGTCTTAGCTCTCTTTGACCTCTGTGCAGCTAAGCCAAAGGCTTCCAGAAATGACTTGAGTAGGTCAGAGCCAGGCCACAAAGTGTATTCATCTTTCCCTTCAAAGAATCCAAAGGACAGTTAAAACCATACAGCAAAATGTTAAGATTTTTTTTCTCGCCCTCTGCACAGATACCTAAAGACAGAATTGTATTCTTTGCTTGGCCCATCACCACTGCAGGCCATCCACGACTTCCTGAGTCCTATTCCTTTAGTGCAGTGGTTCTCAACCTGTGGGTCGGGACCCCATTTGGGGTCGAATGACCATTTCATGGGGGTCGCCAAACAACGGAGCCTGCCATTTTTTCCCCTTTTCCTTAGCTGTGCTACTCCCTTTTATTCTATTGGCTTTTGAAAGCCAATAGAATAGACTCTCTTGAATAGAGTCTAATTCTATTGGCTTTCAAAAGCCAATAGGAATTGTCCAGGCTGTCTCTGCCTGCTGAGCCCGCCAAAAGTCCCATTCTGCAAACGGTGCTGCACCAGTTGAGTAGTCCTCGACTTACGACCGGTTGAGTAATCCTCGACTTATGATCGGTTGGGGGTCGCGGCATTAAAAAGGTTGAGAACCACTGCTTTACTGCAAAGGGAGCAATTCAATGGATGTGTATTTATACACAACCATCCAGTTGTACATAAATCTCATATGTAAAATACAGCTAGGAGAAACCTGTTCAGTCTAAAGATTAATGGAAACTAAAGGAGAAGGCTGCCAAAAAAAACCCCACTTCTCAGGAGTTATTTTGTTTTGTGCTTCAAAAAAAAAGTTCCTAGTGGTACTGGTGGACAATTCCCTTAAGCTATTAACTTCTGAAAGAGGTTTCTGGTCAAGAACATGGCAGGGAAGAGAACTTAGCCTCCTTTTCTCCTGTGCCCCAACTCTAGTTGATGATTAGCTCATTTTTTCCATCTCCACTTACTATCTATATAATAAAAATATGCATGTTCTCTGCTTTCCAGTAATCAACAACTTATTTAGTTTGACATGTGATCGGTTTTTAATTGGAGTTGAACTTTGATGATCTACCAATTTATGCATTTTTTTGTGAAAAGTTGACTTGGATATTAGAATGTAACTCAGGCTGAAATCTTAAGCACAATGGAACTTCTCAATAAAAATGCTCAAGAAATGGCAAGTTGGTAGTACAAGTAGATGCCAATGGATTGAGTTGTACATGCTAAAGAGCAGAAACTGCACCCCAAAAGCCAGGGGGGGAGATGTTTAAGGACAGTAAGCAATATTCTTCTTTACTACTTAGGATTCCAGCAAAATAATTTGTGAATTATTGAAAATTTGCCTACATATCCCAAATGAAATATAGCTGTGCTGCTTTTGGGCCCCAAAGAAACCTACAATCTAGCATAGTATATTTACCATCATAACCTGATAAAGCTCAACTTAGATGTAAGTCCACTGAGTTTGGTGGGGCTTATTCCTAAATAATGTTGAAAACCAGCTTTAATTCAAAAAATTAATAAACAAATTTTGTTTTTTTAAAAAAAGAGAGAAAATCAGTTTTAATTCTATGTTGGATTGCGGTCTATAGATTTTTTTTTTTTTTTTTTTTGTTATTAAGCCGCATTCAGCTTAAATGAATTACATACGGATTTAGAATTTGATAAACAGAAAACTCAACCTGTTTCATTTAACTACAGCAGACTGACCTGCTGTAATTGCCCTCATTTTTTTGTAGCTATCTAATTAGACTCACAGTGTGTTGGTGCTTTTATAGACTTCAGTGAGACTGCTCTTACTTT